CAGTATGCAGTCAGTATGCAGTCAGTATGCAGTCAGTATGCAGTCAGTATGCAGTCAGTATGCAGTCAGTATGCAGTCAGTATGCAGTCAGTATGCAGTCAGTATGCAGTCAGTATGCAGTCAGTATGCAGTCAGTATGCAGTCAGTATGCAGTCAGTATGCAGTCAGTATGCAGTCAGTATGCAGTCAGTATGCAGTCAGTATGCAGTCAGTATGCGGTCAGTATGCAGTCAGTATGCAGTCAAAACGTCGCGATCACATCCCAAGTGACCACATCGTGAGACAAACGATCACATTTCTATTTTTAAGTGTTATTTATCACGATGAACATCACAAGCTATTTTACGATATAGTTCTTCAGAAGGCAATGGATATTCTGCGAAGAGTTAGATCTATGTTTGTCATTATTCTCTTTTATTGTTGTTGTTCCTTTTTTTGTTGTAGATATGGGGCGTCCAGGACTTATTTGTGTTTGATCACGGAACCTTTTACGGTGATTCGAACTCCAGTCTTGGAAGAGACACGGTTCCTGGAGAGTATTCAGTCCAGTCCCTTCACGTGCAGGATAGAGGGGTGTTTGAGCTGCATTCAACTGACAAGGAATTGGCCAGTAGATTGTCACTCACTAATTTGACGGTAAGAGCATGTTCAAGCATCAGCATCAGCGAAACTTTGGGTACTTTGTGATTCTAATGTGAGCGTTCCAGAGACATGTTCTATCTTAAGTGTACAAGAAACAAATAACGATGTCAAACATTTTCACAAGCGTGGGAAAAAGATATATATTAGTTGCCTAGGTGTGAGAATTGAAGCGCAAAAGACGGTTATAATTTCGTGGTCTACCACCTGAGAGAAAAAGACGTTTTTCCTAGGTCATATTCTAGGCACATGCGTCAATATTATGTTACATGCGTGCTAAGACCATGTAGCTGCGCTCTAGAAGAATTTTCCTATTTTTAATTTTTTTCTTTTCTTCCTTATTACCATCACTATTAAAATCATTATTATTATTATCGTTATTGTTATCATTATTGTTATTATTAAGCGTCCTGGATACTGCTGAGATAAAAAACGTTGTAACTGTTGGTGAATTTCGAGCGTGGTCCATAGATGTTCTTCAGTCATAGTTTATCTGTCTCTTTTTGGAGCACCGAAGTAGTAGTTAATTCTTCGCTGAATCACCGCCTCAAACTTCTTCAATAAAGTAGTTTCTCAGAGGGGACTTAAATAGCCCCCATGTGAGTTGTTTTATGAGTGAGTCTGTTCAAATGAAACTGCGTCTTGAAAAATATGAGTTCGACGCTAAACAAGTCTTGGTATCACTATCAAGGAGTACTAACAAGCTTATTCTGATAAAAGCAACTATTAGATAATTTGTTTTGATCATGTGATATGCTTTGCCAGATATTTGGCGGTGGTCACTTCAAATCAAACAACAAAATGCACATTGCAGTGAAACATCTGGTACGAATAAACTCCGGAGGAAGATTGAGTCACAACCACGCTGGGTACATCACCAAAGAGGGAAGGTCTGGAGACGAGTTCGAATCATCTGAAGGTCCTGGCCAAGGGATTGGTAGCGTTCATGGTGCGAGTGGTGCTGGCTTTGCTGGAACTGGTGGAAGAGGGACTGGAATGGGTCTCGTAGGTCAGTTTTACGGAGACTACAGAAGGCCAGACGATTACGGGAGTGCCGGTGGCTTTGGGTTACATTACGGTAAGATGGTAGATAAAAAAGATAAATATAGCCTAACTAAAAAAACCACAACAACTGATGCAGGCAGCACGCATGATCAGAGACAAATCATGAGAGGAATAAACCACGTGACACAATGATTCTTCCTTGTTTCGTTCACAGGTAACTTGTTCTATGGAGATTATCGCTCAAGCTCTGTGGGTCCATACAAAAATCTCATCACTCGTAGTGGTCTGGGAGGACAAGGAGGTGGAGCGATAAAGATCGTAACGCGTCACTTGATTCTTGACGGACACCTGTCAGCGGATGGAGAAGACGGTCCCCCACCCAGCACAGCAGGAGGGGGCAGTGGAGGTAGTATTTGGATTGACTGCGAAGAGCTGGATGGCTACGGAACAATCAGTGCTAATGGAGGGGCAGGCTCGCCAAGCAAAGGAGGGGGGGGTTCAGGAGGACGAATAGCAATTTACCAGGTGTTCATGCTTAATTTTAACGGCACTCTTTCCGCAAAAGGTGGAAATAGTGCAGTGGAACCGGGCGCTTCAGGCACTGTATTTCTTGAGACTCGAAACAACAGCAAGGTGGAATACAGAGTTCTGAAGATAAACAACTTCGGCTTGGCATACCCCTGGGCTGTGGATAAATCGCAAGGGAGATTAAGGAACCTTATGAAGGGAATTTACAGTGAGACAAAATATGTTGGAGCTGTCACATGGTTACACGAAGCAGATAAATACACCTTCGACGAGTTTCATCTCCATGGAAACTCCCACGTGGCTCTGTATGGAAACGGGTCCCTAGAGAATGTCACACTGTACGCACACACACTTCGCGGAGATCGCAGTGGCGTTTTTCACATTGGTCGCTTTCAGTCCGTAGTGTTTGACTTTGTCGATTTGTATTTCCCAATTAATACGCTTGTGTACTTCAACGCTACACTGGAGGTGCCTCGAAGGTTGTCGCTTCGTGAGGTTTACATGGAGATCAACGGGACCCTAGCCGACTCAGATGATTACACCATTGATAGAGACGGCAAACTGTTTCTGTGGTCAGGAGGACAATCACTAGGCGAAAAACAAGGGCACTTTCGGTTTATAAACATGTCAATCAAGTCACTTGGCTTGCTGCACACCACAAAACTTAAGGGTCATGGTCCAGTTAGTCTGCACACCACACGATTTGTAGTAAATGCTGGCGGGCTGGCTAGTGTTGACGACTTTTATTTGGACTCTGTGAATGCCACTATCGATGTTGCTGGTGAGAAAAACTTTACATTTTACTAAGCCCTTCCTTTTCCCATTCAAAAAGTGGAAGGTTCTAATTTGATACAGAATCTCGTAATAGGAAAGAATTGATCCTGTGCATCACGTATTTCGCATAACATTCCTTGAAAAATTTGTTCGATTAATGCCATCTGTAGAGGCTAAAACTACTATTTCTAATGCTCTACAGGTCCAGGATTGTCAGAAATACTAGCTCAGACACTTGATTATAGAGGCCATAATTTCCCTGCACGATTAACTGTTAGCGTTAATGTTATTTACTATTATTGCACAGGTGATTATAGAGATGAGCTTGCTCTGATTGGCCGAGGATTGCGTCATTCCTTGCTATAATCACGTCGCACGAGGTGATTATAGCAGGGGCGTTAAATTTCAAAATGGCTGCCTTGCCTTTTTTTTTTAAATGTATCCGGGGAAGTGATAAACGCGATAGAAAAAAAATTCAATCGCGAAGAGCACAATAGATGCTGCTGAGTTTGGCGTAACTCTTTTCAAAAGAAAGATACGAGGTTTTTGCTGATTGAATTGAATAAGCCTGTTAAAACTGCTTGCTTATCTTGATACTAATAATCAAAAAGAGTTGTAACAAAATATACGCTATGCTTAGTTTATTTACAGAATTTTAAACAGAATTTGTAAGCACCTGAGCAATTATATTAAAACAATTGTTTGCCTCAGAAAGTTACCTAGCAACAAGAGCGAATATATGTCTTCTTTTTTAAAAGGAAAAAATGAGAGGGAAAAGGCTACCGCAGTTTTTTCATCCGCAACATGAATATATGCAGGAGATTATAAACTGTTTATAATCTCTCGGTGCATGTTCGGAAAGGCTCGTCGCGTATGAGTTGTTTTGCAGTTCCCTTAGAGAAGACTGGTCTTGAAAGTTTGATTTCTATGTTCCCGCTTGTGGAGTATCACAATAGCGTCTAGGACAAAAGAAAGACTCTATACCAGTGGATATGCTAAGATAGTTCATTGTTCCGTCTGCAGGTGACGTGTCAGCAGACTTCAGGGGATATGGTGCAGAACAAGGACCAGGAGCTGGTGTTCGGAGGACTCCTTACAACACCGGCGCTGGAGGTGGGAGCCACGGTGGCCGCGGTGGACGGGGGACAGCTGGACTCCAAACGTCTTTTTCCTACGGCTCTATTTACGAACCTACCCAGTTCGGCAGTGGTGGTGGCAATGGTCTCCACGGTACGGTTGGTGGGCGAGGAGGTGGTCGTATTGTCTTTGAAATATCAAGAATGCTTCGACTGGAGGGACGCGTTCATGCAGACGGAGAGCCAGGAAATAAGAACTCCGATCCGAGCGGTGGAGGCGCTGGAGGAAGCATTGTTATCCATGCATTCAAGTTTGACGGTGAGGGTACTATTTCGGTAAATGGAGGATCATATCCGTTCACATATGCGCCTTATGGGGGTGGTGGAGCTGGTGGCCGCATTGCTGTCTATTACAATGGAAGTTACACTTTCATCGGATCATTGCAGAGTTATGGCGGAACAAGTCAGGCAGAATGGGGTGGAGCAGGAACAGTGTACATCCAAAACAACCAGAACACGAGCCAGCCGTACAGCATTCTTAGAATTGACAACAGGGCCATACTCAGTGGCCCATCAAGGCTTAACGAGATTGAAGAACTTGATCTGGCGGGAAACAGTGCTGATTATCCCTATTATATGAAATCGTACACGGCCCCCAATGGAGTTACTTTAACCACAACAGGGGTTCCCTACTGAGAAAGAACTAATCCTCAAGACTCCAAAGTATGTGATACCGACAATTCCAGGATGTCGAATTTGTTCAAGTCAACGTCCAATAGTTATTACACTCAGAATTCCAACCCCGTTGTGACTTACAGCTTTCCGTTACCTCTGTTCTTGGAGAACTTGTTGATTTATCCTCAGTGCAATTCACATTACTTGACGCGATTTTATGTGCGCGAGTACTTCAATAACATTGAAGTTATTGGATCCAATGAATGGATTAACCCAACAAACTGCCTCCAAGGACAACCGCTCAGAATGAATGTAAGACAGGCTGTTGAAAAGGTAAAACTACGTTCTTGGCGTTTTATGAGCAGATATTAAATTTAGTGCCTTCTAATGTGGTCACGTGGGACAGAGTAGGGAGTTAAAGATGTCGCTACGGCGACGCGCGAGAAAATGTTGCCGAAAAACGAACTTCCTTTTCCCTAAAGAACTTCGCCAGTAGCACGGTGCGTTAACTGTTTCTGACAGTGCGACATCTTCTCTTCTTCATAACATGTATTCATAATAAAAAACGTGACTGAAAGTTATGAAAGTTAGTGATTTCACATTTTTGTTCTATATGGGACGGCTAAGAAATGTATAAAGTTATAAAACGCTGGTGCTGCGCTATTGTTTTGCTCATTAGATTTTTCGTTCGATTGCCGTCGCCGTCGTGGTTTTCTTAAAGTTCCTACTTTTATCCTGAAGTGGACTGTAACCAACGGCTAATGCTCGAAATGTCAGTTTTCTATTGAAAATTTATGACGTCTTTAAGTTTCCCTCTTTTACAAACAGGTAGAAATAAGTCTCCAAAAAACCAGCTGGTACGCTTCACTCAGTCTCGTAAGGTTCTTCGTTCGTGAAAACCCTTCAACCACGCTACAAACGCCACATTACACTAGCCCCAGTACCTCTTGGATCGTGATCGAGGACGAGAAAACTACAGAACATGATTTCAGTGAGGTATGATGTACTATTTATGATTTAACCGTTGTTTTTACTTTGAAGCTACGTTTGTGTTGGTAAGAAAGTAGTTTGATGGCGGAACTAAAGAATCGATGGTATGTTTAATGATCCTTCCGCCTTGAACTTCTTTCAAAAGTCTGAAAAAATAAAGCAGATCCCAACAGGCCTAGAAAGATACCCGTGTCATGGACCTTTTGCAGCAGGAACGAACGCTACAGTAGTAATTATCTGTTGATTAACATGTGCATATGTTTAGTGCATAACAATTTTAACTTACCCACATCCCAACCAATGTTGTTTCCATGTTTTATGTTTACTTGAAAATATTATTTTTACTATGTCTTTAAAAAAACATTCACTAATCTCTCTTTTAGTAAATACCGCAAAGAGAATAGTGCTTTTCTTGCCCTCTCACTGGCTAATTCGGAAGTGAATAGCAAGTATTATTATCACCTCTACTTCGGTGAATAATTGTTAATTATTCTTGTTTTTGAAGCTACAAATTATGGGCCGAGGAAGTCTGTCCATATCCGGGAATACCTTCAATATGAGAGTGGACAAGATAGTCGGTGACAACTCTGGTATCCTGACAATGCGCCCGACGCAGAGCATTCTCATGAGGGGCTTAGAGGGACATCTTCCATTCTCGCTCCTTTCACAGAAAGGCTCCAGTGTAGCCTTTCCCACCAGTATGAACTGTCGTGAGGTCGAGGTGACTATTCGTGGGGTCATGGGAGAGATGCAAAATCTTACCGTTGGACCACAGTGTCGGTTTGTTCTTGAGAACTCTTCAGAAACGGAATTCATGTTAGAGCACATGGTCGTACAGACTGACGGTTACATGGCGGCTCTTAGAGAAGACAGAGAGGACGTGAAAATGGTTGGAAAGACTTTTGACATTAGAGGAGGAGCCAAGGTCAGTAATCATTTACAACAAATGTAAAGTTATAATTTAAGAGACACCCAGTCTCTGTATCCTAGATTTTAAATATGCAAAGAAAGATCCTGTACTTGATCATGTATTTCGACGCTTTGTACATCTTTTGTTTAGAAGTAATAATGTATAGGGAAAAATTACTGAATGATGATTGGTCAATGAAGAGGGTATTTTTTTCTTAATTTAGCTTGTGAAGAGGGCAAAATTACTTGCTCACGATTGGTCCTCACGTTGCATATCAACAGCTTGTGCTATCGAATAGTTGTTGCCAAAAAATTCTCTGTAACAATTGCGTCACGTTTCGAGATAGTTGACGAGGAATATATCGAAGAATTAAGAATATATAACAATATATCACGCGTTTGTAGTGATTGATTCTTTGTCAACATTAAATGGCTTCCTCTGACTGATTACCCGAGAGCGCATTCAGAAATTCAGTATTTTTCCCTCTATTTCATCAACAAGTAATCGCAATAGGTTCTCGTTAAATTGAGGATTAATATCACTTGTGTTTTCAGCAACTCCTGAAAACACAAGTGATATTAATCCTTAATTTTACTCGGCCCCACGCGATTGCCGATACTACTGTAGCTTGTACATGCCTCAGATTCTTTGTTTTCTTGATAGTCCTAAGGATGTTGGTTGTGTTTAACTCTTGATCACGGACTAAACGTCTGCTTAATAGACCTTCTTCGCCTGTATGTTTTGTTCACCCATGTCAGGTCATGTGGTAACACTTTAAACAACAACTTTTAAATTTCTTCTTATTCACGTGTATATGCGCGTATAACATGCAAAAGATATAGCTGCGAATTCTCTTGGGACCTGAAATGGGTAAACAAAACATTCAAGCTAAAGGGGTCCGTTTTAGTAGTTCAGGCAAGAAATATAAAGAGGCATTTGCAATTGAGAGAACGTGCGTCTCCTTTTTTAACAGATGGAGGCGAACAGTCTTACATTGGACTACGTCAACATCACAATAGAGCCTTTCGCTGATCTCTCAAGTAATGGGCTAGTCGATGAAGTTCCCGGATCACGTTATCATGGAGATGGATGGGGTGGATCCAGCGGTTCCTCGGGTGCAGGGCATGGCGGTCATGGTGGGGTCGGTGGAGGGCAGTCAAAAGTTGGTGTTTCCTATGGAAAGTATAAAAGACCCACAACATTTGGAAGCACAGGCGGAGCTCAAGTATTTCCTTTCACAGGCGGATTAGGAGGAGGTCGATTTAAAATCATTGCCCACGATACACTTGTGGTGGACGGAGTACTGTCTTCCAAAGGGGGAGATGCTCGAGCATCTCGCAGTGGCGGCGGAAGTGGTGGCAGCATTTTAGCATATGCATCAAGAATCCATGGCGATGGAGAATTTGACGTTTCAGGAGGTGACGGAGACAGTTCGACTGGGTATCGAGGAGGCGGAGGTGGAGCTGGTAGGATTTGCTTGTATTATCGAGAGAACCACTTCCTTGGTCGTTTTCTGGGTTTTGGAGGCACCAGTTCAAACGAGGCCGGCGGTCCAGGGACAGTATTTTTAGAGAATGTCCCTGGAATGAACGCTACTTATGGACATGACCGTATAGACGAAGCAGCGCACGCGGAAAGAATACTTCCGGATGAAAACGTCGTTAACGGAACACAATGGGTTCGGAATAGAACATTGTACGCAAATGCCATGGGTCGAAAACCTCGAAGTCCAGACGCTAATCTAAGTTCAAGCTATCATGATTTCAGCGTTGGTGGCTCAAGTAGGGTGTGGCTGATTTTGGATGATGAAGATCTGGAAGCGAACGGGACTGATGTTGAGCTCGATGAGTTACAGCTTTACGGCGGAGCACAACTCGCCATTATCAACCCAGTAAATACCAAAGCGTTCATATCCATTGTGATTGGTCAGATGGAAGGAGACAGAACTGGTAGAATTCATCTCGGCTTTAATCAGACTTTCCTGTCTCTCCAGTCGTACCTTCCCATGGATATGATCATCTATCAAGGTGGACTCACCACTATGCAGGGCGAACTGCTCGTTGCCGGGGTAACGGTGGAGATTGATGGTGTTTTGAGAAGATGCCAAAACATCACTGTGGTTGATGATGGTGTGATTCGCATGAAGGAGATGTATGACTTGGAGGGAAAACCCACTGAGGTAAAGGCACGAAATTAAATGGATGGGTTTTTTATTATTTTATCAGAAACGAATCGTGGTTTACCTCCATTTTTTATCCTCATAACTCAAGCTTTAATTGTCAGAAATAGAACTTTAATTAGGGAATGTCTTGTAAATTTTTTCATGGGAGCTCTAGCAACCATGCCAGTCTGGTTTGACTTAATGATAAAGAGGCCTTTTTTCTCATTCATTTTGTCGTTGTTGAAGAGACGATTTAAGACAGATTCGAGACTATTAACATCACTTCGAAAAGGTAGATGCGTGATAGGACAAACCACCTTAAAAAACTTCGCTCACTTCAACTCCTAGGAAAAAAAGTCTTAAGGTGTTAGTGGAGTTTTAGCCGAGATTGTAGCCCAGCGATATATGTTCTCGACTAGTGCAAGTTTTTCCTGCATTTTACGTTTTTACAGTCTCAAAGCTCATTTTTCTACTTTTCAGACATTTTATTTCGAAGCAATTAATGTGCGAAAGAAAGGCACCATGATGGTAACCAATCAGGAGCGAGTTCGGGAATTCCGAGGAACGTCCATGCAAGTGTTTGGTGGAGGAACGTTTACAGCAGTTAACCTTCAGGTACACGTTGTGAACTTTACTATCGATGCGCTAGCAAAAGTTCATGCAACTTTGGAGGGAGAAAAATTCGATTACGAAGGTATGTTTGCTTTAAACGCCCTTCTTTTCTAAAATAATGTAAATTAGATTACCAGCCCAGGTTGTTCAGAGCAAGACTTATCTTACTTTAGGTTTGAATTAGAAACGAGACGGCTTTCGGTCGCGAACTCTTTTCAGATGCGAGCCTTTACAAGAAGTTCAAACATGTGACAAGGAAAAATTGTTACCTGTACTTATTAAGAGCAATTGCGATTGTATTTTGTTCGCGAATTGTACAGTCTTTGTGCTCAAAAACTTGAAAAATAACACTACAGTCATTGCTTTATTCCTGTAACTGACATTTTAGGCAAGGGCCCTGGTGCTAAGTATCCATCCCCAGGCTTTGCCGGAGGATCAGGCGGTGGTCATGGAGGACTTGGCGGACGTTCTACGAGTCAAGTGACAACTGGGGCTGCATATGGTTCAATAAAGGAACCTACAGAATTTGGTCAGTTGTTCGCTTTTTTGTTTATTTTCTATGCTTTTTTCGTTAGGCGTGGAGTTTTAAATGTACTGGTTTAGAGCCTTGGAGACTTATACATGTTCTAATTGCTTGGAAGTTTGTTCCTTTCGTGAAGAAGTCTCCCTTTCCTCGTGCAAGAATGGAAACAAGAAACGTGTATCTGCGGCTAGAGATTTGTGTAGCAAATGGATTACTCTTTTATTATAAAGAAGGGTATTTCTCTTTATGAGATTGGGCGTCCAGTGACTCACTGGGAAGAGAAGCAAAGACAATGCCAATTGATGTGTTCAAGCCATCAATCGTTCCAATCGTGTGCAAGCCATCATCGTTCCAACGGGAACGTTAGCGCCCCTGTTAGCTGTGGTTTCAGGAGTTGATCATAGGAAAAATGAGAGGCGTTTCTGTAGTTACACATGTTCTTTCTCCTATGTGAGTGCTTGATGCTGTATCTTGGGTGTTTTATATATTTCTCTATTTATTTAATCATTTTTTATCAAATGATCCAGCTTTTCTGGACTGACTTTGACGCCCTTGTCATGAAATGACAATATCTTAAAACATTCTACATGGCTGCCTCCAGTTTAACGTTCCAAAGAATGATTTTCAAACCTACAGGTAGCAGTGGTGGCCAGGGAAGCAGTGGAGCTCATGGAGGACGCGGTGGTGGTATTGTATTCCTGAATATCAGTGACACCCTGGACATTGAAGGAACTTTAAGTGTAGACGGTGCCAACAATGGTGGGTCTGAGGCTGGAGGGGGAAGTGCTGGAAGTATTCTTATCAGAACTGTTTTATTGGAGGGAAGTGGAACTATTCAGGTTAGTTAACATTGAAGAAAATTTCGCTGCTTGAACTAGCAGTCGTTAAACAGGTTAGAATGTGCTGTAAACCAGCAAAAAGCTATTTAACAGGTGGACGACTAATTGAAAAAAATGTGAAATATTTTGAGATGTGAATTTCGAGTACCTTTACACGAGAAATCTAGAAGTAAAGGAGGTTTTGTCGTATAACAAGACCAGAAAACACACAGAAAAGGAGAAATTTGATGTACTTGAAAATAACATATATTATTTTATAACTTTTATGCTGTTGATGTTAATCCTTTTCTCCCAAAATCGGAAAATTCGTTGCCTTGAACGATGAAAATGTATTCTTGTCGTAGTTATTTCCATGCATCTGCTATTTAATGGAGACAATATCCTTCGATAACCTGTTATAGTTACAACTGGTAACGGCAATTGTCGCATTCTTCTTCTTATCAAGGCAAACGGTGGCAACGGATACACTGGTTCTTCCAGAGGAGGAGGTGGTGGGTCTGGTGGCAGAATCGCCCTGTACTACCAGGGAGGGTTCTTCGATGGTGTCCTTGAGGCCGCTGGCGGGAAGGGCGATTTAGAAAACGGTGCGGCAGGGACAGTGTACGTGGAAAAGGCGGTGAATAGATCGGAAACGCCACATCGAACTTTGAAAGTCGATAACAAGGGTCGATCGCCGCTTAATGAACGAATCAATGAGGTAAAAAATGAGTTATTGACACTTAAATTGCTACGGGAAAATATTGAAGGGGAAATCGATCATTAAATGCGTTAAATATTCTAAAAAAAAAAACAAAGAAAGGATATCGCGAAATACAAAATATGTGTTTTGCTTATTTGCGGGCGCTTCCGTTAGTGAAAAGGACAGCGTGTTAATTATTCTCCACATGCATTCAAAACACTCGATGACTCTCTCTTTTTTTGTACGTTAACTACGCAAGACAAGCTAAACCTCGTCTCTTTCATTTGGTTGCAAGATAGTGATATCACTGACAATAAAGCGTGTTCTTTACGACTGTTTTTGTCTTTAAGGAAAAGATGATATGATTTAAATGGAAAATGTTGAGTAGCAAATCAATTAGGAAATGTGACTTTCTTGCATGCGAGGTCATCGCAAGAGGACATGTGTTACTCTAATTCTTCCGGTCGCATGTACGATGCTATATAAGTGTAAATACCCTAACACATGTACATGTACGGTGCTACATAATTGTAAATACCCTAATGAATAAAGGCTGATAGTTTCTAAAGAAACTGTTTCGGGCTGCGTCGGTGGGGGTAACGAAATAATTTGGATATATCAACAAAGTTGAAATGGTAAATTGGCCACCGTAACGATTACAAAAGCTGACGTTTCGAGCGTTAGCCCTTCGTTGGAGCGAATAGAGGAATTGTGGGTTGTGTGTGCTTTTAAAGGCAGAAAATGGAGCTACGTTATTGGTGGGAACATGGCGACGAGAAAAACACGAATAAATTAGTGGAATGAAAAGAGTTCTTTGATCCCTGTGGGATTTAGACTGCCGGTTTGAAAGATGAGCTTTTGTTCAAGAGTTTTACGGCTTTCCGTGCTACCTAAGTGTAAGGAAAGACCGCAGATTGCCATATGTTGCTTAGAATGATTAGGTAAATTAAAATGTCTAGCGACTGGTTTCGATGTGTCCTTGTCATTCCTTTGCACGTCGCGAAGGTGTTCTCGGAATCGGTCACCTAACATGTTACTCTTGTATTGAGAAATACGAGCTTTAAAAAGAATGAGAGAATCATCGAAATTGACATTTCGTTGGAGGGAAGGTGGGCGGGTAGATATTAATTGTTGTAGGCATTTCTGTTCTGCTTATTATGTATTTACATGTTCACTCTATATTTTAATTGTTCACAGATTGAGGAAGTAAAACTGAATCCAGGAGGGTTGAAAGACAACCATGCTTACTCAAATGAGTACACCAGCATAAGTGGCCTGAAATTCAAATCCGATGGGTCTACATTGCCCCTCTTTTCCGGGTCGGGCAGATATCATTCACTGTCCCTAATGTTCGACGGACACCTTAAGAACGCTTACATCGTGCAGTCGTCCTTCGTCAATGTGGTCATCGAGGCTACTTTGCCAAGGCTGATGTTCATACATCAAATGAGGCTTTATCCTGTATGTAGTAAAGATTTTTCTGTCCAGTACGATCCTTAGCTTATCAAGTTTTTCACATTGCACACGACGTGTTAATTTTAAGTAGAACAGTGGCATTTTTAATACCCCAGGAGGCAGAATGGAGCCCTTAGAACTAATTTTTCTTGCAGGATACTTCTATTATCATGGTCACACTTATTGAAACACTTCCCGTTTTGCCCTTTTATTGTTAGTAACGGATTAATTGACCCATACGAAATAATTCTTCACCTGTTTGGAAGCAGGGTGTGTCAGTATAACAAGACGAGGGTCTTACCATAAATCTAACACCGACTTCGTCAGATTTGCCTTAAAAGAGCTTCTTCAAAATTTTTTGAGTTACTTTTTAATGTCAATGATAGCTGCTTCTATTTTCATTAAACCTTGAAATAAATATTTGTATGGGTACAAAATTTTCACAAGGTACTTAAAGGAGACAAGTGAGAAAGAAGTGAAAATTTGGTGTCTAGGAAGACATTTTCTAAGGGCGTTGTGACCTGATAAGATCCTATTCAGGAACCTTAAATGGGGTGTTATTAGATTATTAACAAGCTTCTTTGAAAGTCCATTAGGAGCAAGCAGATTCTTCCGTACAAGTCTTTTGCCAAAGAGGGTAAAGTGAAAATCCTTTACAGGCACTTTTAACGCTTTTCTCCTTTATATTTTTCAGTATTGCCATCGTCACTACCGCGTAAGTTTCACCTTAACGACGGACCATCCGGTTATCGGTTGGATAGACAGAACGAAAGGTTCGCGTTCATTCGCAGACTGTTTTGATACTTCGGTTTACAATGATGTTATCATAGCAGACACTATCTCGAAGTTCACCGTAACACTGACGAGGCTTGAGTCATACGTTGCGTTGAGTGAGCTTAAAGTGTTCGTCGGGCGTGATACGTCGTCCTTCCAAACTAGCACTCTTGAACAAGACAGCTCAAGAACATGGTTCGTATTCAACCATCAAGGAACCACAACGTTTGAAGTTGACGAGTTGGATGTGCGTGGAAGTGCACACCTAGGTATTCAGAACGGAGCTGGCAACGTGGAGTTTGTGGTGAAGGAGTATAAGGGGGATTTTACAGGAACTGTGCATGTAGGTGCAGCACAGAATTGGTACCTGAACGCCAGCAACAATTCCGCGATTCCTTTTACCCTCAGAACTTACCAGGTGAGACATTTTTTTACAATTTACCGACTAACAGTGAAACTACCTTTTGAAAAGATGGTTATTTCGTCTTTATTGGGTATTTAAAATCAACCCGTGAGTGGTGTCAAATTTTAGAGATGGGATAAATTAACGCGATTTAAACACTCACTCCTGGCCCTTCCTCTCCTTTCTACTCTTCCGCATAAAAAAACTGTATTTCTTGATTGTAACGTCATACTAAAATTACAACATTCCCTATGCCAAAGAAGGATCAGGGAATTTTCGTAAGATGCTGTCATTAAAAATCTCACCTCTTCTAACGTTCTTATTGTCTATGATACTGACTCTTTAAAAGTATGGTGGGCTAAAGAAAATTCCATTGGTTTTTTAGTTATAAAAAATATTTCTGGTACAAAGACAGTAAAGGCCCTAATTATTGAAAGCACGGAACTCACAAACCTCTCAGTAAATCAACTGGAAATTAACCCCATCTAAATCAGTGTGAATTGGAAGAAATCTCGCTTATTTCAATAATAAAGTATAATAGCCCTGTGTATAAAAACATGTCTCTAATTATAGTTGGTAATTAGGTATTGTAAAAGCAAAGCGTGTTACCACAGTAGGATAGGTATTGTTTATAAGTGCGCTTACTTTACTCTCGAAGAGATACTTTTTTTATGTTCTGAAAAATTTGTTTTTGTCCTTGTAGGGATCACAAGTTTTTCTTCCAAGGGAAGTCTATCTCCAAAAATCTTCAATTTACGCCGAATCTGAGCTGGAGGGGCTTCAAAACCTCTTCATTTCACAAGGAAGTCGCTTTGACGTTACACAAGGAGTGCAGGTAAACTCCCCTTTGAAAGCCACCATTTTATTGGATCGCATGACCATTCTAAACGGAGGAACGTTCTACCAAAGGACTGCTGAACCCACAAAATTAGCAATAAATCTGACAGGGGAGCTCATCATAAACGCAGGCGCATCTATGGAAGTCAGCCAAGTTCATCTTCAGGCCCATAATATCTTTATTGACATTGACGGTGTCCTTACCGCAAGTGGGCGGGGCTATTCCTCTATGAAGGGCGATGAGCCAGGTCGGAAGTCTGACGTTGCAGCCTCCGGAGCTGGTCATGGAGGTGCTGGTGGAAGTAGTTCGAGTCAAGAGTACGTTGGTAGGGCTTACGGATCCTTTCAGATCCCTCTTGAGTTTGGAAGTGGTGGAGGACAGGGATATCAGGATTTGGTGAGTTACACTGATAAATTGGTTTGCTTTTCAGAGCAGCTTTAGTAGTATTTCTCATGACATACCTAACTTCAGATCTTTGTTCATGATTATTTCCAAATGTATGAAAAGATTTAGGTCAAGAAGTAAGTTCCCTTCTGTAAACGAATATTAATGAAAAGGCTGCTCAATTGCAGAATATTATCTGGTTTAGACACAATATTAAGGGCTTTGTTTTCTATCGTTGTTAGCCCGGTAGCTCTGGTGGCGGGGCTGTTAAACTGAGTGCTTCTCACATCGTTCAAGTTGACGGGCTTCTTGATGTATCAGCTAAGGCGGCTGTCAATCCAGGCACCGGTGGCGGAAGTGGTGGTAGCGTTCTTATCCAAGCAACGCTGTTTTTGGGGAAAGGAAAAATATTTGCTGACGGCGGTGAGGCTACTAATTCGTCGCTTGGAGATGCTGGGGGAGGAGCTGGTGGTCGCATTTCTGCTCATTATGAAATCACAAGATTCACGGGCTCTTTCTCAGCCCACGGTGGAGCTAGTAAGAGCGAAGCCGGAGGGCCAGGAACGGTATACCTCTCTGAAAACTCCACTCACACAACTATGATTATCGACAACAATGGTTACCGTGCCTCTAAATTGTATATATCAGACTACAGAGATCGCTCCAATGACGGAGGACGCGCCTGGCTCCTTGCTGGCTATATGAACGAGTTTACGTTAAATCTGTTGCAGTTACGAGGTGGCTCTCACTTTGCTGTCTATCATCTGAAGCCTTCATTTACTCTCAACGTGGAAAGACTCGAAGGTGACCTTGGTGGTTTAATTCACGCGTCAAAGAAAAACAGAGTGTATATAAAAAACTCTCCAAGACTGTTCCCTTCAAGTTTCCACATATATAACGAGGGATTTCTTCATCTGCCCCGTGACGTCTTGCTCAAGGACTTGTTTTATCCGAAGATTTCCTTGGAAGGGCTGATAAGTGGAATGGATAATTTGACACTTGGTGGTGGAGTGGAATTTGTGGTCACATCAAAGGTACTAATTTTGAAAGTTGTAAACTGAAAGTATTTAAGAGTGTTGCTAAGTATGCTGCGCTTTAAAATGTTTTATGTCTAGCTTTATTCGAACTGGTTCAGCGAGTGCTCAGTGTTATCCTTTCATTGGAAAGCTAGTTTTGTAAATTTGAAAGTAAAACTTGAACTTCGTACTTAACTTTGCGGACTATCCTTTTGTGATGTTGAAATAATTACGGAACGTCGTTCAATCCTATCCCTTAACATTTTATTGTTACTGACGAGGGAAAATAGGAAATAGGCTTATTCGTGGTGGCAATCAGCCAAGAAGGCAGTCAATCAGCCAATTTATCACAACGTCAGTCGGAGAGTCAGTCAGCCAGTCAGTCAATCAGTCCGTTGGTTGGTCAGTCGGTCGGTCGGTCCGTCAGTCAGTCTGGCAGGTATATTTAGTGCAAATGTTATCATAGAAAGCTTAGAAATTAAATATATCCCGTAAGTCTAAAATAGTTTTCGTTACCTCATTAAACTAACCTATTTTGCAGGGCCAAACCGAGGGCTATGGCAAAAAGACAATCCACTTAAACTCACTGACAATCATGAATGGTGCCAAAGTCACGGCCACTGATACTGTTTTGGACTCACCAACGGTCACCCTGCTGCTGAATGAAAGTTTAAGAGTGATGGCAGGAGGTTTGATACAAGGCAAGTGGATAGACATCAGCGCAGGTGATATTGAAGTGGAAGCATCTGGAGTCATTACCGCAGAGAAACAAGGCCATGATGCAAAAAATGGACCTGGGTCGCCATCAGGTAAATAAGCCTCTCACGCAGTTTGCATGTTTTGTTGTGCGTTTTGCTTTCTATTCACATAGTTATTGAGAATTGGCAATACATTCAGTTTCTTGTAATTAGTGATCTGAAACTAGATATGATATTCTGCATGATATGCTGAATTATGCACGAATTTGAGTGGTTCTTACATATGAGCCAATGCAGGAGAGACGAATAGATGACGCCATCATAAGTAACACTTGGCTTTTTTCTTATCATATGGAAAAAAAGATTCCAGATGGCGTGCGTTTTTTACAGTATTATGTCACATTTGTAATCTATGACAGAACAGATGCACAGCAATATGGAATCTCTTGCAGATATGTATTTCATTCTCTTGATAGAAGAGTCGTTTTATCCCACGGTCATATTCCTGATTACCTCATGAAAAAAGAATCCATCATTTACATATTTACCGTCACATTTTATCAAGTCTCTCCCACCTTTTCTTTAAGTATTTATCATTGACTTCTTAATTAAATTACTTCAAGGTTCTGCTGGTGCCAGTCATGGAGGTCGCGGAGGTCTTGGTTACACAGGGTCATTCCCAGGCAGCTCATACGGCTCTCTCTATCGACCTCTTTCCCAAGGAAGCGGGAGCATGTTTGCTGTTGGAGGTGGTGTCATTAAGTTGGCAACCAGCCAATCGATTACCATAGATGGTTCAGTAGATGCAAACGGCGAGGATGGTCATAACAAGTCTACCGGAGGGGGAAGTGGGGGAAGTATCTGGATCCTATCCAAGGTTTTCAAAGGAAATGGAGTCATCAGAGCCTCAGGTGGAAGCGGATTGTTTTTGGAAAGTGGTGGAGGGGGCGGAGGACGAATCTCTATCGCATTTGACAACCGTACATTCAGTGGAAAAATAAATGTCTTTGGGGGAGCAAGTAACAGATTGGCAGGGGGCGCTGGTTCCTTATATCTCCATAACAAATACACGGATTTCAAACAGCTTATTGTTGACAACAACAATATAGGTTCGCCTTTAACAGATGACATTACAGACGTCTCAAATGACGGAGGTCGGACCTGGCTAACACCCGAGCCCAACACGATTGAAATGTCATTTGACGAGGTTGACATTCGAGGCAAATCAGAACTAGCTGTCCTCACGACTCCAGCTGACTCCCCTTTTCGCTGGAACATTGGAGGTATCCGTGGCGATCGCTCAGGAATCCTGCATGTTAGAGCTAATCAAGAGATGCAGATGACAATATCTGACAAAGAGGGAAAACAGCCTGAATTGCTTTGGGGTGTCAATGTGTATCCAAGGGGTGACCTCAAGTTGCCCCGTAACCTTTTCGTCGATGGAATCAAGATGATTGTTGCTGGAAGTTTGAGGGGCGCTCAAAATGTCAGTGTGGGAAATAATGGAAGACTCATCCTCAGGTATGATACTTTTTAGTTAACAATTACTGCTTCATTAGAATAGCATTTCTTGCGCAAATAACAACTCCGAACTTACCCTGTACTTTTGTAAGGCCCCATTAAGAAACGGATAAGATGGCCTAGCCAAGATTTCTTTACCCTGTCAGTCAATATTATGATCACTAATTGCTTGTTTAAAGCCTGGACACATGGATTTAATGATTATCATTGTTATTATTCGTAGGCAGTTGATTGCTCCCAACAACCAGATATCCAGGAACCTAACATTTGACGTGATCGAGATCCAGGGCGGCGGCAGAATCGAAATACAAAGCGATAAGGACGGCCTTTCAATAAAGTGCACAGCCTTGTGGATCCGCAGTGGTGGCGTCCTAATCGCAGACCGCCTTTCAATTGTGGCCGAATCAGTTACAATTGAGCAGTCAGGAATAATTGACCTTAACTATAAGGTAAACCGTTGTCATGAAAGTTTATTTCAACTCTGTTAAGTGTTTTTCTGAAGTCAACTTAAGATATTGAAACTCAAATATTTCTGTTCTGAAAATGATGGGCATTTGAATCAGTACATTGCATTAGTTTGTCATGGGAATAGACATAACCTTCTGGCTTTAAAACTTTTTGAATCTACTCCGGCTCTTTGGTAGACCCTAAATGTACACGCACTTTTGCCATCTAAAGCCTTTTTGAAACTCCTTACCGTCTCTTTGAAGACGCAAGCCTTGGGACATATGGACGTCAAACAACGTTCGTATTTCTTTTCTTGGAAAGTAATTTTCTCACTTATTATAGTTGTTTTCGGATAATGTGCTCTTAGCAATTACAAAACCTCGTCTTATCAACGTTATACACAGTCGAATTCACTGTTGGTTGCCTCCTCTCTAAGTTTTCTTGATTGTCTTCTATTTTGTTACTAACAGGCTGTTGTGGCAGGCTCAGGACCAGGAGTTGGGTATTCACACTATTCAGGATCTTCAGGAGCCGGCCATGGCGGTCGGGGAGGTAGAGGGCAATCTCAGAATCGAACCGGTGGTTTTTATGGAGATTTCACCAGTCCAAAATTGTTTGGAAGCTCCGGTGGCGGAGGAAGTGGTGATGACATAGCAACTGGTGGAGGTGTTTTCTACTTACACGCTCAACAGATCGTGCATGATGGAGAAATTACAGTTAATGGAAAAGACGCTTTAAACAATTCTGATTATGGTGGAGGAAGTGGAGGAAGTGTCTTCATTGAAGTAGAATATTTTGATGGCTCTGGTGTAATTGAGGCAAATGGTGGTGCTGGTGGAATCAATGGTGGTGGTGGAGGTAGCGGTGGAAGAATTGCCGTTTACTATAATCAGACATTCTTCACCGGAAAGATATCCGCATATGGGGGAGCTTCTACTGTTGAGAATGGAGCAGCTGGGACTATTTATAAGAGAATCAAATATAATGGTAAGAGTATCCTAGAGGTTTACAATGAAGGTAAGAAGCCATGGAAAAATGAAATCGCTGATTATTCGGACTTGACAAGTGATAGTGCAAGAACATGGCTGACTATGAGCCACATTATTGATTCATCGGTGCCAGTTACTGTACCAGATGTAAATCTTGGGACCACTGTATACAAGGGCCTCACAATAACCGAAGTCAAGCTAGGTGGATCAGCACATCTTGCAATCGAACCTGACGTCACCAAGATTCGCCTTCACACGTTTGAACGGTTTTATGGAATGTTTGAAGGAAACAGCTTTGGCTTCGTTCACGTTGGACCTAATCAACTACTTGTAATGCCAGACACGGACTACTACATTCCAGTTAATTTGAAGGTTTACCCGTCAGGCTACATTAAGTTACCAGATAGAGTCATGCTGCATAAGAACTCACTGTCTCTTGATGCTGGGTATCTTATTGGTGTCGAAGACCTAGCTATCTCGCAGTGTGCAGTCTCATTTGGAGCTGGTTCTGGAGCACTAAGCACAGGATATCTACAGGCGATGTTCTTTAAGATTCAAACACTTACGATCATGAGCCAAGGGGTATTAGATATGGTAGCACCAAACTCTGATTATTCATTACGCGTTGACTCTCTAGTCATCAACTCGGGAGGCGCACTAAATGGACGAAAGTTAGATATTGTTGCAAAGAGCGTAACCGTCGATGAGTCAGCGAAGATAAACCTGGACGGCCAAGGAGAGAAATGTATAGAACCTGACGTTTATTATGCTGGGTCAGGAGGAAGTCATGCAGGCTACGGAGGGCTTGGAATTGGGAGCAAGCGACAAGACCCATTTGATTCAGTTTTTCTCCCAGTTGCATTTGGATCTGCTGGATATGCTGGGCGTTCGTCTTTTAGTTGTATGGGTGGATCTGGGGGCGGATCCCTGAATTTGACGGTCGATGGGACGCTACAAATTGATGGCGAAATCTCGTCCAGGTATGGATTTGTAATGTATTTTTTATATTTCGAAAGAATTAAACTATTTCAGTCCAGTTTCCTGTGATGAGCTATGTAAAATATAGTTTGGACGTTCCCGAGGCAAAACGTAATCCTCCTTTTCATGAGTAAAACTGAGATTATGACAATACTCAAGATGTACAGTGTGTGTTACTGTGTCTTCCTTAACGATGTCACGTAGTATAAAGGGTCCTTAACGTATCTTGGCCATGCGCGATTATTCTCTTTTTTTCAGAGGCCAAAATGCCAAAGACAGCGAAAGTGGTGGAGGTGCAGGTGGCAGCATTTTGATCAAAGTCACTACACTTGAAGGTACAGGCAAGTTCCAAGTCCAAGGTGGTGATGGCGGAGTCACCTCTGGTGGGGGAGGTAGCGGTGGAATTGTTACACTCTACTACAAGTCATCGTCGCATCCGTTTTCTTACAAGGTTCAGGGCGGAGGTGGCAAGAAGATCGGTGCTTCTGGCTTCCTTTATTCGAAGAAGGATCTCCAGCGTAGGCGTCGGCAGATATCTGGCTCAGACTCAGTATTGATCTTGGAGGGAAGGGACGTTTTGTCTTTTGAATCTCCGAGTGTACTTGTTTGTGATCCGAAACTGATCGACTTTACTTTTGAGGAAGTGAAACTTTTAAAATCGAGCACCCTGACAATGATTTCGTGTTCTCAGGGAAGTCCAATGACTTTGATTACCACAACAATCAAGGGTGACAAAACAGGGTGGTTGGTCGTGAAACCAAATCATGATGTTTATATTGGCGTTACAAGCATAGTTAAGCCAAGCATGGAACTTGAATTTAACGCGGAAGTTGAAGATGGAGGAACACTGTCTGTGCCGGGGAAATTCTTCATTTCCGGTGATACGCAGATAAACCTTAGCGGCAGTTTAATTGGTGTGTCAGACGTAATAGTCAACGATAATGGAAAACTTGTGCTCAAATATCCTGGACATACTGGCTTCAGAATAACTCCTACCCAGGGAATATCTGTAGTGCAGATTTCAACCGTGCGAATTAAAGACGGTGGAAGCATTTCAACAACTTCACCAAACAAGGTTAAAATAAAGTCGGTTGTCTTACAAGTAGACTTTGGCGGGAATCTTGGATCTGGCATTTCTGTGTCTTCAAGTCAACGAATTGAGTTCACCAATGGACCCTCTCTCAATAGGCAAGGCTGCCCACACGGATACGAAGTTGTTGAAGTAGCTTCAAAGACTTTGTATAACCCATGCGGTGTTGGAAAGCACATTTTTAACAAAAGAAATGAGTCTTACCTAGTGTTCAAAAACGTCTCAGTGGCCATATCACACAATGAAACCATTTATGTAATTAAGAACGAGACACGCTACAACGTCACCTACTACATTGCTTGCGACTATGACGATTTTAAACTTTTACCTGGCCAATCATGCAACTTAGCACCAGGAAGCTATAGATACAATTCTCTGGAAATACAAGGAAGTGCTACAATGCATATTGAACCAGGAACAGGAAAAGGAAATGCCAGTACTTTATCTGTTTCCAAGCTAACCATTTTCTCTAAAGGTGAACTAATTGCAAGAGAGTCCAACCTCATTAATACCAACTCGACATCGTCAGACTATGGTGGCAGCTATGGAGGTCTCGGAGGAGGTGCTTCTAAAAACAGTGCCCTATATGGCAACATCTCATTTCCTGTGGATTATGGTAGCAATGGTGGTGGAAGCAGTCAAAATCGTGGATTGGGAGGTGGTGTGGTAATCCTTAAGGTAGGAGAACTTTCCAACGATGGGCTTATTGATGCCAATGGTGGGGACGGATCTCTTGGAGCTGGTGGTGGAAGCGGAGGTAGCATCCAAGTAGTAACAGATTATCTGAAAGGATCTGGTAAATTCAGAGCTCGTGGTGGAAATGCGGCCTACCCAGCTGGAGGCGGAGGCGGGGGAAGAATTGGAATAACGGTGCTTAAAGGGCGCAGCGAATTTCGTGGTCTTTACGATGCCACTGGTGGAGATGGACGTAGACCAGGCTCATCTGGAACCGTTTTTGTTAGTGACCAAAGACAAGGAACTTCATATGAAACGATCATCTTCTGGAACAAGGTTATTGGCTATCCTCCAGCTCAATTACCGAACACATCAGCTACTTACACCTATGATGAGATCCGTTTAGAAAACCGTGGTACATTCCTAGCAACAAATCAGCTAGTAGTCGCAAAGAGCTTTGTTACTGATGGTACTGGCAAGCTCACAGTTTCAGGTGGCGCCCGAGTAGATATTCTGAGTTTTCCAAAGTCCTCGAGAATATTTTCATGTGACCTTGAAGTACAAGCAGGAGGTTCCATATACTTCTACAATAAACCTATCTTTTTAGGTCCAGGTTCCCCTACCGTGGTAATTGCTGGTATTTTGGATGCAAGAGGGCCTTCTCTTGGCAAAGGCAAGGCTTTAAATGTAACTTCATCTGGGGAAATAAGAGCGGATAATCTGAGACTTCTTAAAGACTCTGTGATGCAAGTGGATGCTGATGCCTCAATCAGGAAGAGCCTCGCGTATGCACATTTTCATCTTACCTCACTGAGACTGGATACAAATGCACAACTTACATTTGCTCAAGGAAATGTTTCCTTTAGATCTGATTCCATTCATCTTAGCCAGGGAGCAACAATCACGTCTGCAGCTGATACGAAACTTCTTAATATCACGGGTAATGATATTTTTATAGATAACCAGGCAAGAGTAACTGCTGACAGAGGTGGCGTTTTGGGTGGTCCAGGAAAGGCCAGAGGCTCTGGTAGTGGCTGTGGACATGGAGGACGAGGTGGAGGAAGTCAGGGAGGAGAGTCATATGGATCTGTATTCAAACCGGAGCATTATGGCAGTGGTGACAATGTTCGTGGTGGTGGAATCATTTTCCTAAACATAAAAGGAGGATTTACTCTATATGGCAGTATGAGTGCGAATGGCGCCAGTGATTCAAGTGGAGGAGCAAGCGGCGGTAGTATATTGGTCCATGCAGAAACTTTATCTGGTCACGGAGAGATTCTATCAAATGGCGGTGAGGGACTTAGTAATTCCGCTGGTGGCTCTGGTGGTCGCATTGCACTCTACATTACAGACAAGACGTCTTTCAGGGGTGCTCTCACTGCTTATGGTGGATGTGGGACCACTTGTGCTGCAGCCGGAACAATTTTCGTCCGTGAGTATGTGGTTGGACTGCCTCAGAACTCTACAATAATCGACAATGGAGAAAGGAAAACAGAAGCCAACACGATTATTATGCACGAAATGAAAATCTCCTACACGATGCGACTGCTTAAAATCGTTAATGGGGCCCGGCTTGAGGTAGCAACATTGCCAAATGTGGGAATGAAGATAGCAATTCAGAATCTTGTAGGTGATGGGAGTGGAAGCTTTCATGTGCATTACAATCAAACGCTAACCCTAGGGGCTGGTAAGGCTGTTTCGTCACGACCGTTCATGTTTCCTTGGGCAATGATAGTGGATGAGGGAGCAACATTGAATCTAGATCCAGTGCTTTTCATAACACGAACAGCAATCACGCCTTCTCTGTACTTAGCTGGAAAACTTACTGGTGGAGAGAAAGTTACTGTTGGACAGGATGCCTCTGTGGTTATAGCAAAAAGTGGAATTATTGGAACTCACTCCAACACGCCTGGAAAGTACTCGTTGCTCTCGCTTAAAGTCTCAAGTGGAGGACGCATTACAATTGAAGTTGATGAGGGTGGAAAGGCACCTGTTGAACTTAAGTCTCTCTCTGTTGATGTGGCGTTCGGTGGGGTTATAACTGGAAGGTACCTTAGAGTTGATGCATCACTATTAAACATTGCCTTTAGTGGAACTTTGCAAGCAAATGGATTGGGTAACCCCGCAGGTGTTGGTCCTGGTGCTGGCAGTTCTTCTTTGTTAACAGGAGGTGGTTATGGAGGGTGTGGCGGAGGCAGTACCAATGAAACCTGCGTGGTATATGGATCATTGTTTGAAGCAACAGAGTTCGGTAGTGGGGGAGGTACAACACAAGTTCCTGATGGTACCTATGGTAGTGGTGGTGGTATCATCGCGGTAGTGGCTAAGGTCTTAATTGTTAATGGTATCATTTCTTCAAATGGCCAGGGTGGAAACAGTATTACAACAGGCGGTGGTAGTGGTGGAAGCCTGGAAATTTCTGTTTCGGAAACGTTCAGTGGTCGTGGTAAAATAGAGGCTGAAGGAGGATACGTACCCGGTCAAGTGACAGGAGCCGGTGGGGGAGGTCGTATTTCTATTCTTATAACCGGTGACAACAAATTCAGTGGTTCTTTCAGTGCACGTGGTGGAAATTCATCAGCTAAAAGTGGATCGCCTGGAACGGTTTACACTGAAGATGGAAAAACAGTTTTACGCTATAGGAAACTATTTCTTGACAATAGGGGCATTTCTTCAAACTCACCTCTACCAATTTTTCTAAATCAATCAGTTGTGGCTTCGTATAATTTTCAAGAAATCCGCTTGAATGGCCAGGTCATGCTACACGTTGATAAAGATATGGAAGTTGGAAAGCTGGTTACAGACCCAGACAGTGTTATATATGTCAAAGATAATGTCACTTTCACTGTCGAGCCAAACTCTAGGTATCTGCAGCCTGATTGTAGCTTTGTTGTAGACGCTAATGGCGAAATTCGTATTCCAGACGAGGTAATGTTTCTCGGAAGAAATAATGTTTTCAGAGGTACCTTGACAGGTATATTGGATATGGTTATTGGAGAGAACAGAAAGGTATTTCTATCAGCCTCGGCGCGAACAGCTCGTTTCATTGATGGGAAGTACACCTTTATTACCCACCGTGGAGGGTACAGATTTTCATCCCTACGAATAAAGAATGGTGCATTTTTTTCGTTTGAAAATGCACAATTAAAGAAAGTCCCCCTCACTCTCGGACGGCTTGAGGTAAACTTTGGTGCTACAATGCAGGGCAGCTGGCTTGACATCAAGGCTTCTGACGTTATCATACACTCTGGCGCCACTGTTGACCTCTCTGCTCAAGGACACGAAAGTGATAAGGGACCTGGGGCAGGAGGTCTACATCAGTCCGATGGAACTGGCGCTGGGCAAGGTGGTTATGGTGGAGTGAGTACTGGAAACTTTGGAACGTGGTATGGTTCTGCACTTAATCCAAACAATACCGGAAGTGGTGGCGGGAGCTCCAGTAATGGTAAAGGAGGAAGAGGAGGTGGTAATCTTCGCTTAACGGTTGTTAGGGTACTTACACTCGAAGGGAGAATATCGGTTAATGGAGAAAGTGGAACTGTGTTAAATAGTGGTGGTGGTAGTGGAGGTAGCATTTGGATCTCAGCAGACAACATACGGGGTAATGGGATTATTAACGCAGAAGGTGGTGATGGTAAGGGTGCCGGAGGTGGAGGTAGTGGTGGACGTGTTGCTCTCTACTTGCAAGAGTTGATGAGTTTTGAAGGTCTTTTAAATGCCAAAGGTGGCAGCGGGAAAGACGCTGGTGCAGCTGGAACACTTTACCTACAGGATAATAACAAACGCATCCTACGTAAACGCCTATGGATTGATAACCTGAAAGTTGCCGATAACAAACCTCAAACAGTGCTTTATGAGGCAGACAAAGTTAACTTCCTTTTTGACGAGCTTCGGCTCAATGGAATGTCTCGCTTTGAAATATACAATCTTCAAAGGAAGCTTCAAACTATCCAGGTCACAAACTTTATCTCCGATGGTGTTGGTGAAATTGCTATAAGTAAAAACCAGACTCTTCTCGCAGAAGTCATTGAGGCAAAAGAGAGTCACTTAACCTTGACAACCAACATCTACGTCGAGGAAGGTGCTAATCTTGTTGTGGCTTCGAACTTAACTGTTGATGGTGCAACACTTACCTTGGATGGTAAACTATCAAATGTTCGACACCTCGTTGTTGAGTCAGGGAGTGCTGTTAAATTTGGAATCACATCACAGACAACGCTTATGGAGAACAAGAACTTTGTCTTTCAGAGTGACCCCGGAACTCAACAGTTTGCAAGTGTAACGCTAAAGAGTGGCTCTGACTTTGGAGCTCCTCTTAATCTTAAACTCAGTGTTGGAAAACTGGATATGAAGAGTGGGGTGGTTCTCCAAGGAAAATTTGTTGATATAAAATCCCAGTCGCTCCTTATTGGTCGTGGGGCAATTCTAACCACTAACAATATCATAGATATTGAGTTAAATCCTGGTGGCAGAGGACACTCCTCGGGTAGTGGTGGCTCTGGTGGTGGGCATGGAAGCACTGGCGGAACTGGATATAATTCGTTAGTTGGTGGGATTCCCTATGGTACGATCTATGAGCCAAATCAACCAGGAAGTCCAGGCGGTCATGGCAGTTCTAGTGAATCAGCTGGAAAAGGTGGTGGAGTAATATTAATTGACACTGATGTTCTAGAAAATGACGGATCCATAACAGCTAATGGTGGAGTTGCATCTCAGAGCAGCCAGGCTGGTGGAGGAAGCGGTGGCAGTGTGTACATAATCACTAGCAGCGTTTTCTCTGGCACGGGCACAGTTTCTGCTAATGGTGGGCGTGGAAATGGCGCTGGTGGATGCGGTGCAGGCGGGCGAGTGGCGATACATCTTCAATCTCAGTATGCATACCGTGGAACATTGGAGGCCTTAGGCGGAATTTCTAGTCGCAGTGGAGCTTCGGGTGGTGCAGGTACAGTTTACATCAAAGACGTCCGCTACAAATTATTTTTTGAACAGCTGCACGTTGATAACCAAGGGCAAAGTTGGCAGAACTATGTTACTCTTAATGAAAGTAAAACATCCTACCACTTTCACGAGCTTCTCTTGGTACGCAAAGCATCGTTACGTATGACTCCGAATTCAAACTTGAATCAGTCTTCAACGCTTAGTATCGGGAAACTCTTTGGAGATCGATCAGGTCTTCTACATCTGTATAATGGCCAGAAAGCAATAATTGAAGTAGTAGAGGCACAGCTGACAACTACTAAGACCCCTGTAAACTTTAGAATTGACAGTGGGGCTGAGGCTGTTATGGCAACAACAGTTTATATTGTTGGCGATGGCGCTGTGGCGTTACAATGCAGCGGAACGTTAAATGGCATTCGTAACTTTTATGTCACTCAAAAAAGAGTTGTCCTCCTGGAAAAAGGCTCACGAACACACAGGGACGATGAACAACCCGGAACCTTGAAGTTCTCCAATGTGAAGTTATTTAGCGGCAGTTCAGTGACCATGAAGGATGAGATCGTGATGAAAATTTTTGCTGGATTCTTAAACATAAAGTTCCATGCAAGCTTGGAGGCTCATTATTTCGAAATTGTCACTTCCAATCTTGACGTAGAAACTGGGGGACTGCTCAGTGTTGCTGGTGATAACAAGGCACGTTTGGCTGTTGAGCCCAGTGAAGTATCCTCGCCTCCACAGGGAGCTGGGGCAGGACATGCTAGCAACGGAGGAAGTGGCTATGGTGGGGCTAGTGGAGGCTTATATCATGGATCTCTTTACAAACCGAAAGAGTCTGGTCGCAGGGGTGGAAGAGGAACAAATAACCATATTGGTGGAAGAGGTGGTGGATACGTTAACATTGAGGCGGGCACACTCATTATCAATGATGGCACCATCACTGTTGAGGGTGGAAGTGCTGTAAGTGGTGGAGGGGCTGGTGGGGGAAGTGGCGGCAGTCTTCTATTCAACACAGAGTCATTCATTGGTAAGTCTTTTCCAACCACCTTATTTCAACTACTTCTGCTTGGTGCTCGTATTGGATTATTTTTCTGGAAATTACAACTTTATATCTCTCCTTTCGTGGTCAAAACTTTCTACAAATTGAAAGCCCTTACCTTTAATAGAAACTCACACAGCAAGCAAAGCTCTCTCCCACAAACAGAAAAGTAATAGTTATTTACAAGTGCGGATGTAAAACGCATTTTTAAAATATCTTGTTGGAAGAATATAACCCCAAGTATCGCTTTGTGCGTATGTATATTACGCTACATGTATATGATAAGCTGAGTTATACAAGAATTTGGTTGGTTTATACTTACAATCCATCGGAGTGCTGTCGCAGAGGTTACGTCTCCAATAACAAGATTAATAACCTGTTAACAAGAAGAGTCCATGTTGCCGTGTGTCTGTTCGGAAACTGATTCTAGGAGAAATCAAAATTTGGGAGGAACATCAGTAACACACTCGGCTGCGCCTTGAGTGCCACTTTTCTTCCCTTACCTTATTTTGACATCAGCTGTGATCTATTGCTAGACCGATGCACGGCAATATCAAATTTATTTATTAAACAGATTATATAAACGACCTACAATCGGTCAGCAAACGATGTTGTTGTTTTTAATGGGATGTCTTTATTCTGAAAGGTTATGGAGAAATGAACACTAATGGTGGGAATGGAGGAGGCACCAATGCCGGAGGCGGTTCCGGAGGAAGGATTGCAATTTATGCCACCGAGAACCTTTACAGAGGGACTTACCTTGCTTTCGGTGGAAGCTCCGTCTCGGGGACTTATGGAGGACCAGGCACGGTGTTTTTGCAGGATATACGCGCAAAGAGGCCCTTTAAGCAGCTACGTATTGACAACCTAATGCGTTCCATTGAAGATCCCGTCACCATAGATGAAGCAAACCTCACTGATCATGATTTCTCACAAGTTCACCTCTTTGGACGTGCAGCCGTTAACATGGCGGTTAGGCAGGAGAGAACAACTTTGAAAATGTCGAGACTGTTTGGAGATCGAACAGGGCTTCTTCATTCTCGTGCGAACCAAACGTTTTATCTGGAGGCTTCTGCTACGGAACATAGTGTGTCAAAGCCTGCTGTCAACTTGAAAATCGATGAACATGCTGAGATGGTTTTTGGTGCATCATTATACGTTATTGGAGATGGAGCCAAAGGAACTGGGCAAATAACTGGTGACTCTTCTTTCACAATCGATGGAAGAATGATTGATGTCACTCATCTGTTCATTACCAAGCGTTTGAAGTCAAGATTCTTATCCCACGCTCACTCTGCAGATTACCAGAACGAAACTTTAACTGTGAGTGCTGTAGGCACCTTCGTGTTAGCCACGTTTGAGATCCAAGATGGTTCAGAAGTATTTTTCCCTGATGTGCAAGGAGTTCAATGTGAAGTTGGACTCCTTCACATGAAATACGGCTCCGTGATTGTGGCAGATACATATCGCATTGGGGTTACATCACTTCTCCTTGAAACCGGAAGTAGAATAACTGCTTCCGGAAAAGATCGTCCAAGTAGTTACGACAGTTCTGTTCTTCCCAGTTCCTGTAGAGGTTCAGGTGGAAGTTATGGAAGCAAAGGTGGAAAAGGTAAAGTAGGTTTTAGTCAAGTGAAGTTACCTTAAAATGTACCCAGACTTTACTGTCGTCATATCTTTGTGTGGAAATTTGTGTTTTGTAGCCGATTTGAAATTGCATTTCATCGAAACCTTCACTCACGTCAATAGGCTCTTTTTGATCTGAGAAAGGAAATAATTTCGTGTGGAAAGCTTTGAAGGTGTTATGATTTTTTATATTTCCTCCAGGCCAAAGTGGCGTCAATGAACTTCATTCCCATGGCAGTATCTTTACGCCTAGTCACTATGGCTCAGCAGGATGTCCAGGAAGTCAGAATGGTGGAAAAGGTGGAGGACTTATCATCATGGATATTGGGGATGAACTTTACCTTGATGGTACCATAGCGAACGAGGGACAAGACGCTGCTCGTGGATCAGCCGGAGGTGGTGGAAGTGGTGGAAGCATCTGGATCAAATGCGGTAGATTCAATGGTCACGGCGTCATAACTTCAAATGGTGGTGCAGGTGATGGTCTTACCTCTGGTGGTGGGTCTGGTGGACGGGTCGCTATTGATACTCCAACGGAGAGTAAGTACCTTGGTGAATACACTGCCATGGGAGGAAATTCGGGAGACCCATCGAAAGAGACAACTCTGTACTCAGGTGGGCCAGGGACGGTGTTCCTGAAAGATGCGCGAAATCAGTATGCGCACACGCAGCTTCGCTTGGACAACAGAGGTAGAACTTGGGATCATTACGTCACCCTAAACGAAAGTTTGAAGTCTTACACCTTTGACGAACTTTATCTTGTGCAAAAGGCCTCTATTCATTTAGTCCCAGATGGCAAACCATTGAACTTGACTGTGCACAAAGTGGAAGGTGATCGGACTGGACTTATTCACGTACACGAGAATCAAACTTTAAAAGCCGAGTTCGTAGACTCAGTGTACACCATCACCAGGACTGCTGCAAACTTCAAACTTGACAAGGGGGCCAATGCTATTATGGCAACCTCAGTGCACGTAGTTGGACAGGGTGAAGTGGCGTTTGAATGGAATGGCCGTCTTATAGATGTGCAGCACTTCCATGTCGCTTACGGGCGAACCGTTAAGATTGGGTTTTATGCTCACACTGCTGGTACTAAAGCAGGAAAGTATCGTTTTATTGATGGTTATGGCACGTTCCGTTTTTCAACTCTGGAATTTGGAAGTGGTACTTTAATACATTATCCACCGCCTATGGGAGTACACTTCATCGTCAGCCTATTGGTATGTGTGCAAGCTAATTTGAGTAAATTATGCTACGATATATAATAATAATAATAATAATAATAATAATAAGTTGAAAAGATTTAAAATCGATTACATTCACATTACAGTTCTGTATTGTGAATGTAATCGATTTTAAATATTTTCAACTTATTATTATTATCATTACCGCTCCGCAAGTCGATCATTGTTTTAGCTTAGCGAAATATTCTTGCAGCATACTTATATATATCTATAACAACGATTTGTTCAACTACAACTAAAGAAAGCCCAAATCCGCCACCCTCTTGAAGAACTGCGTCAGTAGGTGACAAAAGTGGCAACAGATGATGGTGTGGAAGGAAGAACTTTTTTCGTCTCAGTTTCTGATGTGCATGCCACTAAAGTAGGTTTCTTTTAAAACAGTTGCTTTTTTTTAAACAGGATATCAAGTTCAGTTCATACTTCAAAGCTGAGTTCTTTAAAATTGAAGCTACTGACGTCTACCTTGAACCGAATGCTACCCTTAACTGCGCTGGAAGGGGATTCGAAAATAAAACTGATGGATCAGGAAAGGATTCTGCTTTAGGCGGCTCTGGTGCGGGGCATGGAACACCAGGCGGAGATGGGCAAGATGTAAATGGAGGAGAAGAAGTGGGTTCCGTGTATGAGCCAGTACTTCCCGGTGCTAGAGGTGGGACAAGAACTGGAAGTGCTACCGGCAGCAGGGGAGGGGGACGTGTTCGTGTAGTTGTTGGATTTGCCTTCCGTTTGGATGGGATTATCAATGTAGATGGAGACAATGCGGCAGCGTATTCAGGTTTGTGTCATATAGAAAGGATATAAAGAGAATACCACATGAAAGTCAGAAAGTGTGCGGTGAGGATATATTTTCAACCAAAACACTAAACACCCATTCTTATCTAAATGTTTGGCCATTAGTAGCGGTTCTGAGTAGTCAGTGGTGCGTCGACACCAGACTCTCTAATTGTATCCGTTTACTTTATTAGATGCATTTATAACTCGCGTTTTTGCCAGCACCATTTATAAAACGAATGAATGAATAATTAGATAAGTTGATGAACCGATGAGTAATTGGATTTAATAGTGGAAAATGTATCGGTGGTATAAGTATGTTAGAGTGCACTACCACAACTTATGAATTGTGTCTGTGGAAATACAGGAAGTGGTGCCGGAAGTGGAGGAAGTGTCTGGATAACCACTGGTTATCTTCGTGGCCATGGAGTTATATCTGCCCGTGGCGGGGTGGGAAATACTCACAACCTCGCTACAGGTGGAAGTGGTTCAGGAGGACGAATTGCAGTTCATGTCAAAATCAAGGACGAATACAGAGGTGGCCTCTACGCGTTAGGTGGTGTATCTTCTGGGACCCAACATGGTGGTTCAGGAACTGTGTACATAGAAGAGATGCAGGGTGATAAGTTATTCAAACGATTGTATATCGACAATCAGAATGCAGATCCACCAAAGGTCTTTACTTTGGACGAGGTGAACCCAAAGACTGTGAAGGCGAATGCTACTGAAGAAAATGACGCAGAGTTTGGCTTTGATGAACTGATGTTACAAAGAGGCGTAAGCTCTTAGTTTTGTTACTTTCCTTTTCGATGCATTTGTAAGACATGAATTGAATGTTCCCCTGCTCGAGTACACTCTACAGTTGGGTTTTCATGGAGTACGTTGCTCGATTTACCTTATATTTCATTTTCCCTGAGACAGATTAGATTTGTTGATTATGGTCTCCACCAGTTTATAATTTGATGCTTTGATGATAAATATTAGGCCAAAACTTGCTTTATTATGCCTTTTTTGAAGAACATTATCTTTTGGATTTTGTTACTAGGTTGTGTTCCGGATTGCAGACTTAAAACTAAGTAAGCGCCCAGCTATTTCTGTCACAACTGTCCTCGGTGATGGTTCGTCTACATTACATGTTATGGAGAATCAGACATTCTTCATAGAGTACCAGGAATATACCAGACGCAGGTCGTTCCCTCCCGTGAACTTTAAGGTCGATTACAGCGGGGAATTAATGTTAGTGTCAGACTTTCATGTCGCTGGGAAAAATAACCCAGCATTTGAGCTTGATGGACGAATTACAGGAGTATCGAACCTAAGTCTGACAGAGAATCGAGTTCTACGAGCGGGTGAAAACATTAGTAGCGCTTTGCTGAAGGACAAAGTTTACATTGAGACACCGATTGACGGACAATTAAAGTTTGGAGTTTTCATCATGGAAGCCTCATCAGAACTGCATTTTGCTAAGCGCATGAAATTTGTTGTCAGCACACTCTACATGCGGCAGAAGGCTGTCATTTCGGCAAATAAAATTCATATGGCTCTGAATGAAGTCCATATGGAAGGAAGCTCTAGAATCACGACATCTGGAAAAGGCCCCAAGGCAGGAGAGGGTCTTGGTCCTGGATCCACCTTCAGTAATGTGGGATCTGGTGGAGGTCATGGTGGGCAGGGGGGCCCAGGAAGTACAGTCGATGGGGGATCTGGGTATGGTTCCTATGTGTATCCGGTGCATCCAGGCAGTGGAGGAGGTGGAAACGGTGGCGGTGCTGGAGGATGCACGACTGAGGTAAATGTTCCTCTTTATTGAGTTTAAATGTCTAATGCAATGAGTAACGGATCTGCAAAATCAAATAGCTTTTTTGTTCCATGTTAAAGTTTGAATCAATGCATTACACCATTTGTGGTGAGCAAGAATCTTGATCGTCCTACACATGCCCCCCATAGCTAACTTGTTAATCTGCTTTTTAACATAGTTATATAGGTTGTTTCATCAAGTATCCTGCCGAGGCACATAGGGGTAGAATTTAAAAAAAAAAACTACACTCGATATTTTGCTTTGCTTTTGTCTCAGATAACAGTTGGATATTCCCTTCATTTGGATGGCATCATTGAGAGCGAGGGTGCCAATGGAAGATCTAACAGCGGAGGCGGCAGTGGAGGCAGTATTCTAATCAAAACTGTTCTTTTTTCTGGACATGGGTTGGTAATTGCGAATGGCGGAAGTGGAGACGGAAATGGAGGTGGTGGGGCAGGTGGCCGTATTGCAGCACACGTTGCCTGGCTACGAGAATACGCTGGACAATATACAGCTTTCGGTGGAACAGGTTTGCTTGATTTTTCAAATCCTGTCATTTTTTTCATTTATCTTTTCACCCACTTGGGCACTAGGTACATCATTGCGGGTAAACACATTCGAATGAGTGGAAAGACAATTGGAACTAATTTTGCTGTGACTACTGAGTGCCCGGCAGCTGGGCACTCTCTTTAATAGACTAAATGCCCAGAAGTCAGACATTTTCACAGAATATCCACTGAAAAGTTTCTTCAAACTTCTTAAGAATATCAGATGTTTGTTTTGAAATGTCAAGCAATCCCAAAATATTAATTTCTTTCTTCAGCCGATAAATTCTCCGAGCTCGTACATTCTATAAAAGCGCTCGGTCGTTGACACTTCACAATTCTACGCTTCTGATGAAACTACCGGCATGGACCCAAATGGACTAAATGCCCGGCACTAAGGAATTTTAACCCAGAACGCCACTGAAAACTTCATACAAACCTATTGAGTATATTCGATGTTTGTTTAGAATGCCAAGCGATTCTAAGAGTTGCGTTGGTTCTCCAGTAGTCAAGCTAGCTTGAATGTACCATACTAAAACACATAAGGCATGTTATATAAAGCTTTGGAGGTCTTGTTGGCTTCGTAAGACCACTGTGGTGTGACAGTAAGGGTCACTTATGTCACAACAGTGTAAAGTTCAATAAATATGGAGGAAAAAAATACAGGAAACCTCAGATAAACCTATTTAGAAAATTAGACGCTTGTTTAGATACCCCAAGTGATTCCAAAATGATTTTGGTTGTTTGGACATATTTTCAAAGCTTATTGAAACACAAAATCGCTTTTTGTCGACACTTGACAGACTGCCGGGTGAGGGCTAAATAGACTAAATACTCGGCAGTCGGAAAAATGCACCGAATTTCTAGAAAACGTTTTTCACGTAGTATTAATTTAAAAATGCTGTCCCGTTTTACCTCAGTGAAGCTGTCCTATTATTCTGTGTAAGAGGGTCTTTACGGGTATTGTAGTAAAAGCTGGACCGATACTGTCGGAGGGCTTCGCATCAAGTGAACCAAAGTTAACAAATGGTAAACACTACAGCGTACAGTATTGAGTTATGGTGCACGGGGGAGGTTGCTAAGCACGAAAGAAGCGTAAGAGTCGCTCGAGGCGATAGCCAAGAGCGACTCTAGCTTCTTGAGTGCTTAGCAAACCTCCCAAGGGCATCCATAACTCAATAGTGTACGCTGTGGTGTTTACCATTTGTTTTATAACATAACATTGATACATTGTAGCTAAAGAGTTCCCTTTATTTAATAAATCTTACGCGACCAGAAAAAACAAACGCGCGCGGAAAAATAGTCTTTGCATTTGCTCACGTCAGCAGCGTACACCCATGGGCAAATGGGGGACGCTAAATTGACCAATCAGAGCACGCGCTTTACTTTGGTTATGTTACAATATAGCTTAGGGGAACATGTTGACTAATCTCCATGTTGATTTGCTGGCTAACAGAAAAAACGTTTTGAAAGAACTCGGGTAAAAGAGCCATTTACGAAGTGCAACGCTTCGAAATCTGCCAATGACATTTTGTTAAATTTTAATTTGTGCCGGGCATTTAGCCTATTTGAGATCGTGCCCGGCAGTCTAGTTGGAAGCGTAAAACACGGGCACGGTACAAATTAAATTTTTAGAATCGCTTGAAAGTTCAAAACAAACATCTCACGTAATCACGTCAAAAACAATATGACATGTTGCGTGACATGTTGTTGCGTGACATGTCAAGCAACTCTACCTGAAATTGCCTAAGCGAAGATGAAGGGGCTTCGAGGCTTGTTTTGTTATCTTCTTTGAATAAAATGGTGAAAATTCATTTCTTTTTTAATAAGATACATTTTAGTTAATGTTTAAAACGGAGAACAAATACAAAAGTCGATCCATATCATATACTGATTGAATAAAAGTATTTGAAGTGAAATTAACAAGCCAAGGATGCAACTGCTACGAAACTCCGCGTGCTTTATAAAAAAGTCTCAGTTAAGTTGTGAATGGGATATTAAACCCCATGTTAGTTGGAAGTGTGAGAAAAGAATATGAAAAGTCGAAGGTAACGTTCAGTGCTCAGTGAGACCAAATTTAATAATCTGGCTTCTCTCAATGTCTAGGCTTTAAAGCGGGAGCAGCAGGCACTGTGTATTACACTGACACCAACCAAGGGCTAAGTCACAGGCCAGTGCTTATCAACGAAGCAAACCACACGGTATTTGGCGAGGGATTCACAAAGCTTACAGTTGACAACTTTAATCGGAATCCCGATATTCCGACAATGATCATCAACGAAAACAGCTCATACTACGAAGTCGACGAATTGGAGATGAGAAACCATGGCTTGCTTCACGTACACGGCAGCAACTCAAGTTTTGTCGTCCACAACTTCACTGGGGACCGAACTGGTCTTGTGCACCTTAGGCAAGGTCAGAAGATGTTTGTTCAAGTTGTAGAGTCCAAGTCAGGCTACAGTGTCGCTCCTGTCAGCTATAAAATTGACCAAGGCGCCGAGATAGTATTTCCTTCGAGTTTAACACTCTTAGGAACGAGGTGTTCCTTTGACGGACTGGTTATAGGTGTTCATCGACTTATCGTTGCTGAAGGCGCCAATGTTGTGTTTGCTTCAACAACCCAGACCGGTATTAAAGAAGACAGAAAATTCAGATTCCTAACCACACCAGGCAACATCACCTTTGCAGAGGTGTACGTACAGAAAGGCTCAAAGTTGGAGTTTTCGCGGATCAACAACACCTTAGTGTTTACTGCAATCATTTTCAGACTGAAATATCATGGATTAGTCAACATCAACCATGGAGAGATCGACTCCTCTTGGGCTTGGGTTGAAAGTGAAGGTAAACTTGTTTTAGACTTCACCGGACATCCAGCTGAAATGGGCTCAGGTAAAGGCAATACAGTGAACTTGATTGGATCTGGTGCAGGCCATGGCGGTATAGGTGGAGTTTCTAAGGCAGGGCAGCTCGGTGGGGAGTCATATGGCTCTATATACAAAGCAGTTCACCTGGGTAGCGGTGGAGGTAATGGGCAGGGAAAAGGTGGATTCGGTGGGGGTATGCTGCATTGGCGAATTGGACAGGAGATCGAACTGGATGGACTCGTTACTTTACGTGGTGGCGATGGTTCTGGAACTAGCGCTGGCGGTGGTAGTGGTGGAAGTATCTTAATCGAGACAACGAACTTTACTGGCTATGGAGAAATTAATGTTATGGGAGGAGATGGCTCTGGTCCAAGTGGGTCCGGGGGTTCAGGTGGTAGAATATCGGCGCATGTACGCTTTCGTCATAAGTATGCTGGAGTATTTAAGGCGTATGGAGGAGACGGAAAAACTTACGCTGCAGCAGGCACAGTGTACGTTGAAGAAACTGCACGTGGACCACAATATGCTGACTTAAAGTACGAAAAGAGCACAAATAGAACTTATATTACAGCAACTCACAGGTACATGGAAGTTGATAATGAAGATCGCAAAACCGAGGTCTCTTCAATAATGATGGAGAGTGAGCACTTATTCTACGAATTAGACGAGTTGTTCCTCACAAGGCATGCTAATTTGCAAGTCAGGCATCCACCAGGGAGTCCTAATGTCACCGTTATTGTACACCGTTTTCTTGGAGATGGTACAGGAAGATTTCACGTCAGAGTCAACCAAACCATATATGTTGAAGTAGTGGAGTCGGAGACTAATGAGACTACAGCACCCTGTAGTTACAAGATTGACCAAGGAGCTGAAGTAGTTTTCCCAGCTATTGTTAACATCTATGGCACTAGAAGCATTATCGAAGGACGAATCACAGGGGTTGAACATTTGATAATTGCAAGTGGAGGGTTTGTTGAGTTCTCGTCCACTGCTCAAACAGCAAGGGTGGAGAATCGCCGCTATGTAGAGATAGACGAAAATGGAAACTTTTCGTTTGCTACTGTAACTGTTGAAAGGAATTCAAGAATAACTTTCAGTCGCATTCTCAACTACACTCTCAGTTTGCGTTGCTCGGAGTTCAAGATTAAATACGAAGGACTGATGACTATGAACCATGGCTATATTTACTCTGCATTTGCTTGGATAGAGAGCGAAGGTATTCTGTCTTTGGATGGTACAGGATTTGGCCCTGAACAAGGTTTTGGACATGGAACAACCAAAAATAATTTTGGCTCTGGGGCTGGTCACGGCGGGGAGGGCGGAAAAACAGAACATGGTGAAGGTGGATCCCCATACGATTCTGTCTACACCCCACGGATGTATGGCAGTGGTGGAGGTAATGGCCGAGGGATAGGTGGCTCTGGTGGGGGATCTTTGTTCTGGATCGTAGGTCAAAGACTTCAGATCAATGGACTTTTGTCCTCAAGGGGAACTAATGGAGAAGGAATCGATACTGGTGGAGGAAGCGGCGGTAGCATTTTGATAACTACTACAAACATGACTGGCCACGGCGAAATTGCTGTTCCTGGTGGCTCAGGAACCGGTTCGGGAAGTGCAGGATCTGGTGGGAGAGTTGGAATTCACTGCCGGTGGCGATACAAGTATGGAGGAAAGTTCACTGATAATGGAGGCCAGGAAGGAAAGTATGGTGGACCAGCCGGAACAATCTATAAAGAAGAGAATTTCAGACCTCTTCAATATCGACACCTTAAATACATGAAAGAAACGAACACTACCATGTTAGCAGTTGATCACACTTACGTACATATTGACAATGATGGTTATGATGTTCCCGGCGCAACTCTCTTGATGGAAGAAAATACCACCTACTATGAATTCGATGAAATGGAGCTAACAGGTTACTCACGCCTTCTGGTCTATCATCCTGGAAACGTCACAGTAACAGCTGTTGTACACAAGTTCATAGGTGACAAGAGTGGACAGTTCCACATCCGTCGTGATCAAAGGATCTTTGTGGAGTATGTTGAGTCAAAAACAAACAAAACTGAAGCGCCTTGCAGTTATAGGATCGATGTGGGAGGACAGATTATTTTACCGTCGGAGTTTTCAATGCATGGCACGCGTTCAGTTTTCGAAGGGATGATCATTGGCGTTCGAGATTTACTTGTGTCCTTTGGTGCTGAAGCTGATTTCTATTCAACCTCACAGACAGCATTGATAGAGAATGGCGACTACATTGCAATATCAAAGCCAGGAAATATTTCTTTCGCAATTGTTATCGTCAAGAAGGGAGGCGACGTCGAGTTCCGAAAGAACACTGGATTATTGAGAATAAATGTTGACGAACTTAAGATAAAGTATCAAGGAAAAGTTAGCATGAACCACGGAGAGGTGTTTTCAACATTCGCTTGGTTGGACAGCCAAGGTAATTTTAATTTGGACGAGGGAGGAAATACGGCTGAAAAGGGACACGGTGCCGGAAGTACTCTAAGTTCCATTGGCCTTGGAGCAGGTCATGGAGGGAGAGGGGCTCGATCAGGGGGACAATCCTATGGTTCAGTTTATCGCCCCTTGGTACTAGGTAGCGGAGGTGGAAACGGGGGAGGAACAGGAGGGATTGGAGGCGGTCAACTTCTTTGGGAAGTTGGAAAAAGATTAGAACTTAACGGATTTATTTCAGCCAGAGGCGGTACAGGTAATGGCGGCCACGCTGGTGGTGGTAGTGGTGGAAGCATTCTCATAAAAACAACAAACATGACTGGCCATGGCGAGATTGCTGTAACCGGTGGAGATGCTGTAAACCAAGGGGGAGGAGGATCTGGAGGTCGCGTTGGAATACACTGTCGTTTTAGTTACACATTTGGCGGAAAATTTACTGACAGAGGTGGATTTGGAACACAAAGTCAGTATGGTGCCCCTGCAGGAACAGTTTACAAGCAGGAGAATCTTCGTCCATTGGAATACCGAATACTTAAATACAGCAAAGAAACTAACACGACTTTCCTGGCTGTAGATCATACATATCTTCATGTAGATAATGAGGGACATGATGTGCCTGAAGCCACCGTCCTTATGGAGGAAGGAACTACAAATTATGAGTTTGATGAGGTTGAACTCACAGGGTATTCACGCCTTATCGTTTATCATCCAAACGAGACGGACGTTACAGTGATAGCACATAGATTCATTGGGGACAAGACTGGAAAGTTTCATTTGAGGGTTAATCAAACCATCTATGTGGAACTAGTCGAATCTGAAACAAACAGAACCGAAGCTCCATGTAGTTATCGTATCGACAAGGGTGCTGAGATCGTCCTGCCAGCAGAGTTTCATGTTCATGGAGTTAGGTCTGAGCTGTACGGTTTGATGACAGGTGTGCACTTTCTTTTCCTTGAAGACGGAGCCACCCTTAAGATAGCATCATCGGCACAAACGGCCCTAACGGAGAACCGCACTTACATTGATATCACCCAACCTGGTAACAGCTCTTTTGCCCACATCATAATAAAACAAGGCGGTTTACTGGACCTGGTGCGTGTGGAAGATGTCGTTGTGTCAGTCACGTCGTCTGTGTTTGAAGTTCTTCATAAGGGAACAGTGAAAGTGAACCATGGCATATTTTATTCCGCCTTTGCTGATGTGGAAACTAAAGGTGTAGTTGTACTTGATGGTGCTGGTTACAAGGCAGCGACGGGTCCCGGTGCAGGGTTGAGTGATTCGTCAAATTCAGGATCTGGTGGTGGTTTTGGTGGACAAGGAGGACGATCTCATAGTTATAACAACGGGGGTGGCGCTTACGGATCTGTGTACAAGCCGCTCTCTTATGGTAGTGGAGGAGGACATGGGAAGTGGAGTGGAGGAGGAGCAGGTAAAATGTTATAAGTTTATCTTAACAAGTGATTTGGAGTTTGTGTTTGGAGACTAACGTCCTGTGGGCGTAGTTCCAAGTTCAAAGAACTCGGAATAAGTTGTTTTCTTCATTTTAGTTTCCACTGCAGCTGTCGCTGGCGAGGTTACGATCAAACCAAGAACAAGGGTATACGTATAACTCTCTGATTGTAGTTCCTAGTTCAAAGAACCGGGTAACTGGCAATGGGTGGACATTTGTGCATCATTCTGTGCATGATACTCACGCACAGAGCACTTTACTTCTTTACATGCTTGTGGCAGAGCCCAGAAACCAAGCCTGACGTGAAAAAGATCGTCTAAAGCACTCCTACCTCCCCAATGTAGTGTTATCGTGATTTTGAAATGCAATCGTTTCCCGCTTATGCTTATGACTTTAGATATCTCAATATATATTGATGTTTTCAAACATATTTAGGCGGTGGATCTCTCTGGTGGCAAGTTGGAAAACGTATTCATCTGGACGGCCGTCTGTCATCCAAAGGACAGAGTGGTAGCAATAGCGGGGGCGGAGGTAGTGGTGGTAGTGTTCTGATAGAGACCACGAATATGACTGGACATGGAGAAATTAATGTCAACGGCGGGGACGCGCAGTCAAATGCAGGAGGAGGAGCTGGTGGAAGAATCGGCATTCATGTCGACTTCCGGAATAATTTTGGTGGTAGGTGTAGACATCTGTTGAATTAGTTTTAAGATAATTTGGTGTTATGAAATAGTTGATAATGGTGTAGACAAGTGTAGAATTAGTTTTAAGATAATTTGGTGTTATGAAATGGTTGATAATGTAAATAGGCCGCCGAAAAAATTTCTAAAAGCGAACGTTTCGAGTGTTAGTCCTTCCTCAGAGTGAATAGAGGAATTGTGGGTTGCGTGTGTTTTACATTAAAAAAATGGAGCTGCATTGGTTTTGGGAAGATGGTAACGTGAAAAAAGGGTTAATTTTTTGAATGGAAAGCGTTCGATGATACCGTGAGGACTAAAAGTGCCGATTTGAAAGTTAAATATTTAAGACTTTGTCTGCCTGTTTAGGCATGAATCACAGATGTGTTAATGTTATAATTCAAACATTTGGTGGTACCCTCCAGGTAAATTCCGGTCCGCTGGGGGTAATGTTTCTGGCTATAACGACAACGCAGGCGCAGCTGGTACAGTTTACAAATACGAGAGTCGCCGTGGTCCACAATACCGCGACCTCAAGTACAATCCGGACACGAACTTAACAACCTTCAAACCAGAGCACTCCAAGGTCAAAGTTGACAATGAAAATAACAACGTCGCTACGCCGACGGTTATCATGGAAAATCAAACAGTGTTTTATGAGTTTGATGAGATGCAAGTGGAGGGTCATTCTACAGTAATCTTCTATCATCCAGAGACGGCACGGAATGTGACGGTCATAGCACACGAAGTAACTGGAGATAAAACTGGAATTATAAAGCTGGTGTCTCGACAGCGCTTATTTGTATTTGTGGTGCAGTCAACTCACACTTACATGGACGCTCCTTGTGGCTTTCACGTCGAAGACTATGCTGAAATTGTCTTTCCTACGGAGGTTATCCTTCGCGGGGAGAGCTCAACCATAAGAGGGCGGATTACTGGAGTAGAGAGGCTTGTAGTTGAGAGAAATGGCCTAGTAGAATTTGGAGGAACAGCTCACAGTGCGCAGTTACCCGAGGAATCACAGTGGCTTGCTGATAATCCGTTTGACCCATTTACTCCAGGACTAATCATTGTTCCACAGTTAATCATAAGTAATGCTGGGTTAGCTAAAGTCAAGATGTCTCCAATCCGAGTTGTACTTAATATCGCCGACACTACTGTTAAAAAAGGTGAGCCAAGATTCATGCTGGTGTCTAACATACTGGAGAACGTCCGAAATATCGTCCATACTCTATTGTTATACTCACTGGTGGAACTCAGATAGATAACAGGGAACAACTAGCCTAGCTATAGTATTATGAATCGCAAGAAGCGAGCTGCCACTGAGACTTTAAGACCCTGGTAATATTACTTCATTCCTCTAGTGCTTAAATATTGACAGAAATAGGAGATTTATCTACTTCTTACCCGATTAAAACTCAAGGGATTCTGAACTACAAATTGTGTGTACACAACTTTAAGTGTAATTCATTCTGAATAGTATTCGCACTCTTCTTTCAGGTGGTCAACTCATCCTCTCTACAAACGACGTGACCATTAATGCTGACTTCGTCACTGTCGAAAGTGGAGGTCTGATAGACTCTTCAGGTGCTGGTTATACAGCTGCGAGTGGTCCTGGTGCTGGGTCCGGAAGTACAGGTGGCAGCCACGCTTCACCCGGTGGGCGAGCTGCCTTAGGAACACAACACGGCTCTGTTTATTGGCCCGATGAACCAGGAAGTGGTGGTGGCTACGGTGCCGGTGGTGGACGGTTTTATATTAACACCGGAGGATATGTGATAGTTGAGGGAACTATTCGAGCCAATGGTGTTGGTTCGTCGTCAAGGTCCTCCGGAGGTGGAAGCGGTGGCGCTATCATTGTGAAGAGTTTATTCCTTAAAGGCTAAGGTACTGTTGAGTGTCATGGAGGTTTGTATCAATTGTTACCAATTTCGTAAAATCTATTTTTTGTGTGGATTTCCTTATAAAAGTCTTACTCGAAACTATGCCGTGCTTTTTTAACTTATCTTTTAAAGCGATTTCAGGTTATTCCCGCATGAAAATAGGTGGCTTACTAAACTTAATCAATGCAAAAGTATTTAATACAGAAAAGTGAAACATCATAGGTTTGGCCATGTGTAAATCTGGCTCCGTGCATATCGAGAACTTGTTAGATCTTATTATTAGCTCATTGCTCGTGAAAGTTGTTTAGATAGGCAGTATTTTTTTGTAAAGAACAGTTTTCAGTCATAAGTTATAAAAAGGAGTGACTTTCGATTGCATTGTTTAATTAAAAGGATGGTCGTGAATCAATTTTAAGTCAAGAATTTTGAGAGCCATCTTGCATTTTCAATCAATTTGCAGGACCCAGTCACGAAGGAGCTGGTTCAGGGGGCCGTATTGCTGTGTATCTCACAGAGCACTTCATCTTTAGAGGGACCTTGACTGCGCTAGGAGGCAATAGTGGCACCAAATATCATGGCAGTCCAGGAACAGTTTACATTGATGTGGATGTCGGCGAGGAACCGTATCGCATGATACAGGTTGACAACAATAACAGGGACAATTTGTTACCAGTTACACTAGCTGAGGCAAACACAGTTCTCTATGAGTTTGAGAGAATCCACTTAGTAAGGAAAGGAGCGCTCGCTTTTAAGGAGGTAAGGTTCAGATGAATAAAAATCTTCGGCGTCTTACGACAAATAAATATTAATTTAGTGTTTGGTATAATGCGAGAAGCATTCCTGATTTACTCTTTTTCTAGTCATGCTATATCACAAAACTGAAAATTGAACCCAACCACCACTACCCGACTATTTTTTTTCGTTTTTCAGTTCCCAGAATCCAAGTTACCTGTTGTTGACAAAATTAGGAGCCACGTTGATAATTCTCAAACTTGATATTTTCGTTTGAAGGTTTCGGGAAAGCTTGTCAAAATAGTCATAAGGAAAGCTACTGGTGACAAGACAGGCATACTACAGGCATTACAGAATACCAGAATATACGTTGAGTGCCACAGCGTTCGCACGGAGGCTCCTGTGAACTACGAAGCCCATTCAGGAGGTCAGATTGTATTTCCAATTCAGACCACTCTTCTTGGTACCAGGGCTCCAGCATTAACTGTCAACGGTGAGATCCATGGCATAGAGAAACTAAGGTTGTCGTCAAACGTCGGCACCCTGGTTACAGAAAAAGGCTTCTCAGCTTGCTTAGATTGTCACAGTAACTATACAACCGATTACATTGGCCATTACTGGTTTAAAAAGCTGCAGGTGGATTTGGGAGGAACATTTCAAGTGCAAAGCTCAGTACAAACAATCTCATCTCTGGCAGTACGTCTTCACACGGGAGAAATAGCTCTAGACTACACGGGATCACTGAAGGCGGACGCTGCCAAATTGCTAACAGAATATTTCAGGCTTGAGTTAGACGCGGTTACGGATGCCTCAGGCTCTGGTTGGTCATCCCAAAAGGGGCCTGGAAGTTCTACAGCTTGTTCAGGTGTAGCGGGAGCTGGTCATGGCGGCCGTGGGGGGACTGGGTACTTCAGTGGATGTTCATCTTGTACAGCGGGAGGTTAGTGAACTCATAAAGTCGCTTTTCTATAGAAATGGAGATGGAAATAAATTTATAAGGGTAACCACGATGCTATCGCTCAAGGTGAACCTATGGAATTCTTGATATAAAGATTTGTGAATTGTGAAGTGGTATAAATACTTGACCTCATATAATCGGCCGCAGTAAAAGGCTCAGCAGTTGTCACAGACATTCAGAAGTCAGGGTTCAAACAGAACAGAATGATGTTGACCTCTCTGTATCCGGAGAGGTAGGGAAACTTATTTTCAAAGCAGGACATCTTGGGTTCGTGTTCTTTGTTATTGTAGATCATGTTAATTAATCGTTATTTTCGACACACCAAATATGTGCTGAAATTTGTCAGAAAGAAGAGAGAGTGCATTCTCTTTTCAATCCGATTTGTTGTGCAAGGTTCAATGAAAGGATGCGAGCGATAAAATTATAAATATATCTTTAGGAGGCGTTAGTGTAGTGTAGCATTCCAAACTATTCCTCGATTTGTTTTTTAATTTTTCCTATTTCCAGGTGGTAACAAGTATGAAAGTGTATCGCAAGCCATACAAGCAGGTAGTGGAGGTGGAGGTACTTCAGCTAGTGGGGGAGGCGTCGTCTTTGTAAGTGTAGAAAAGCTTTTGGAGCTCGATGGCTCGATCAAGTCCGATGGCGCTAATGGAGACGGTGGTGGAGGTGGGGCGAGCGGTGGAACTCTTTGGGTCGCTGGAAGACATTTTGAAGGGCATGGGCATCTTACTCTGAAAGGGGGTGCAGGAAGCAGTCGCTCCGCATGCTGCAGTGGTAATCCTTGCTCTAGCTACAGAAAATACAATGGCGGTGGGGGTGGTGGCGGACACCTTCGTCACTTTTCTCCCGATTACATCAGGCGCGATATAATTCGAAAAAGGGATGTATCTGGTGGGGCTGCGGGTGGCGGAAGTGCTGGTAACGGAGGAAGCGGACAGATAAGTGCAGCTGGTAATGAATGTAGCGGTCATGGAACATTTTCCGCCCAGGAAGGTAATTGCACGTGTGATGCTGGTTCTTACGGCGTAAGTTGTCTGTACCAGTGTGACCCGTCAATCACATGTTTAGGACACGGACGTTGCTCGGCTTCCGGAGGTTGTGACTGTGATCCTGGTTATGTGGGTTATCGATGCGAACATAAGTGTGACGCTAAACGTGACTGTCACGGGAATGGTCGTTGTAGCGTGACAGGGAAGTGTGTATGTGATCCGTGCTATACTGGAGATGACTGTAGGTATGAATGCTCAGGTAATGGGACTTGCATTGGTGGCAAGTGCAAATGTGATCCCTGCTATATCGGAACTCACTGTCATTCGCTCTGCTCGGGACATGGCACATGTACTAACGGCACTTGTTACTGCGGCAGTGAATGGAAGGGTGATTACTGCGAGGTTCCAAAATGTCCTAACGACTGCTCAGGAAACGGCATTTGTAACAGCGCTCTTCTGACATGTTTTTGTAACCCAGGCTGGCGTGGATTTGACTGCAGCGAGCTTGACTGCCCTGGTGAACCGGATTGTTATAATCGAGGTACCTGCTCAGCGATTAATGGTACTGTAATGTGTGTCAACTGCAGCGTAGGGTGGATGGGCCCTGCCTGTAATGATCCTTGTGTCAATGGTGTACAAGAGCCAATGGACAGTGGATTTTGTAAGTGCGATCCCTGCTGGGCTGGCAAGGGCTGTGATTCTCTATGTATGGGCCTCGGGACTTGCTCCGATAATGAAATTTGCAACTGTGATCCTCTCCAAGGCTGGCGAGGTGACGTTTGCCAAATTCCTGGATGTCCGGGTGATGGTAAGGATTGCACAGGTAATGGTGACTGTAACAGCGCTACACACGAGTGCACATGTTACCCTGGATGGGCTGGTTTGGGATGCAATATTCCCGATTGTCCAGGGGCGCCAAACTGCAATAACCGAGGTTACTGTAATGCGTCTGTTACTCCTCCACAATGTCAGAACTGCAGTCGAGGCTGGATGGGACCTGCATGTGCTGACCCGTGTACGTTTGGAGAGCAGACTCCAATGGACAGTGGACAGTGTATTTGTTGGCCTGGATACACAGGTAAAGATGAAAATATCGGGTGGAAAAACCTAAAACAAAACTGTTTTTAACTTTATATAACATGTTCTGATTTTAACGCCTTGGTGTGTATTACGTCTGATTAGAAATTATATGGTCTTTAATTTATGGAAAAGAAAAGGTAGTGTTACGGGTGCAGAAGTAGTGAAATGACAACCTTTCACGCAGGATGTTTATCCAGCATATATATTTGAATTTCTCTTTTAACATTAACGTAAGTCTATTATTTTGCCTTCTACGGCTACCCGGTTGCTCGTGTACTTATTTTCAGTTGTTTCTTTTAAAGGTGTTGGGTGTGATAGTGAATGCTCAGAACATGGTAAGATTGTTGACAAAAGTTGTGTGTGTGACGTCGGTTGGCGAGGAGACCTCTGTGATAATCCAGGCTGTCCTGGTATTGGCTCAGACTGTACAGGCCACGGAATATGTAACACTGTAACACATGTTTGCACGTGCAACGAAGGTTGGGCTGGTAAAGGCTGTGAAATTTCCGACTGTCCAGGGACCCCCAATTGCTTTGAACGAGGAATTTGCAACGCCTCTGTAAACCCACCCAAGTGCCAAAACTGCTCCAAAGGCTGGATGGGACCGGCTTGTAACGACCCTTGTGTGCATGGTCAACAAATTCCAATGGACAGTGCCAATTGTGTGTGTGAGCCTGGTTGGGTTGGAGTGGGATGTGATAGCGAATGCTCAGAGCATGGAACCATCGTTGATAGCAAGTGCCAGTGTGACGTTGGATGGCGTGGAACATATTGCGAAAATCCTGGATGTCCCGGTGAGGGAGAAGATTGTTCCGGTCGTGGGGAATGTAACAGTGCTCTCCATACTTGTATATGTCAGAATGGATGGACTGGTGACGGATGTCATATACCAGACTGTCCTGGAAATCCAAACTGTGCAAATAGAGGTAAAAAGTCTGAATTACGGTAGAATATTTCTTAGTACTTCATATGTGTTTGCTTGTTGTACTGCGAAATAAATACGCATCATGCTCTTTTGCACTCAGCAAAGCTCTAAGCAGGATTTTCAATAATTCCTAAAATGAAGAATGTGGGATGATTTCTTTCAATTGGTATTCCCTTTTTCAACTTATGGTACGCAAAGCGATGAAACAAGTTTTTATGGGGACTTCGTTATGCAAATAAATCACTTACTCGCTATTCACTCAATTGTAGACACAGTGGTAATTAGTCATAGCGAACTCTCCCGAGCCTTAGTAACCGCGCATAATCGATAGCCTGTTAGTTTAAACTTAACACTGTTGCTTTAAATTTCACCTATCGCGTGACCAAAAATATTTAGTGAAAGCTCAAACCCAATACTGTGAATTGCATCGACTGTTAACGATTTGATGTAAAACAAGAATCGTGGGAACAGTTAAAGGTTATTGATTTATTGATTAAATTCAATTATCTTGTGTATACATCGGCACTAGGATATTGTATTGAACTGTTTTTTTAAACCGCCTTAACTGTGCGTTTAGTATTCTGCAGAGTTTCGAGTTGTTGGATGGGTTCTTCGTGACCTTTGAGACACGAAGTGAGACTGAAGAAAACCTCGAGACTTTTTTGGAGTTCTCTCAGCTATTTTAATCTTTACAACGCAGGTTTCGATAATAAATAAATGATCTTGTCCTATTAAATAGTACTTTTCGATGTAAAAAAAAAGATTTCTAGTTTCCCAGAACATACCGACCCAAGTTTCGGTTTTTCGTGTTATAAATGTAGCCATTAACGACAGATCTTTTCGAAGGACTTATTTATAGGAATATGAACGGAAGATTCCATACTAATAACAATCCTCTGACGTCTCGTAAGGTGAAAGGGCAAGATTTAACCGCTCTGCTTTTGTTTGAGATATAAGCGAGCGGGCTCTCGAAAGGTTTGCTTCCTGGAACGAGCAGAACAGTCCCTCAACGTAAATTTCCGACATTCCTTACAAAAGCATTGGAATTGTACAATAAGAGCAACCTTGCATGCTACATGTTTCGTTTGTAGATCTCTACGATAAGTGGGCCATAGGTATTGCTCGATTGTCTGAAGCTACCAAGTTTAATTGTTAGCCTGAACAGAACGATCCGTAAGGTTAGACATAAAAAGACAGGATAGAAAGACAGACGAGCAAGACAGAGAAGCAAGTATACAGAGTACTGACAAAAGGCTGTCACTCTGATGTTTTAATTTCAAAAGTTTCTGTTTACTCTCACAGGCTTTTGCAACATTACTTACAATCCTCCTAAGTGTACAAATTGCATTGCTGGGTGGATGGGCCCTGCATGTGAAGACCTTTGCACGAATGGAACTCAGATTCCAATGGATAGTGGAAACTGTGTTTGTGATCCGTGTTTCACTGGTCGTGGATGTAATGTAGAGTGCACCGGACACGGAACATGCTTGGAAAATAAGTGCCAGTGTGATGAACTTACTGGCTGGCGTGGATCACTCTGTGAAGTTCCCGGATGTCCAGGATCTAATGGGAAGGACTGCAGTGGAAATGGAAAATGCGACAGTGCAAATCATAAGTGCATATGTGATCCAGGTGAGATGAGTAAACCCAGTATAAGTTAAATTTCGCAAAGGTATACAACCCTAATTGAATAACGTTTAAAAACCTTGAAGTAAAGGTTTTTAGGGCTTTATAGAAATCCCTGTAACTTGCACTGCAAGGCGTTAAATTGTGAAAATAGACCTCATCATCATAGCTATCAATCATCTTAATTTTATCTATCAATCAACATTCTCCACAATTGATTTCGAAAGGAAGCAGAAAGGAAAAATACTTTTGAAGAGATTTTGGCAAAAGTTTGATTGATTATTGTAAACACTAAAAAAAGGTGCTTCAACGTAACTTAAATTTTTGTGCCTGCACGAGGGATCATCAAACACTTGTTGAAATGCTGTCCTCCTGTCAAGAGGAGACACCTTACAGGTGTTCATCTGCGTTCTTGAAGTATGGGGAATGTAATTTTAACCTATTTAAAACTTTCTTTAGGGTGGACGGGTGTTGGTTGCCATCTCCCTGACTGTCCTGGCGTTCCGAACTGTTTTGGTCGTGGAAACTGTAACGCAACTGATCGTGTGACTCCGAAATGCACGGACTGCATTCAAGGCTGGATGGGTCCTGCTTGCAACGACCCCTGTGTCCATGGTTACCCCAAAGATGGTATTTGTGTGTGTGATCCGTGCTTTACGGGGAGCGGATGCCAAAGTGAATGCTCCGGATTTGGAGAATGTATCGACAACAAATGTGATTGTGGCCAAGAAGAAGGTACTGCTCATATGGGACAATACTGTGAACTGCCGGGATGTCCAGGCCAGTGTACCAGTCCCAATAACGGCTTTTGTAGCATGGACACTCAAAAATGTATTTGCGCTCAAGGTTGGGCTGGGGACGATTGCAGCACACCTGATTGTCCAGGGGAACCCATCTGCACTGGCCATGGAAGATGCAGTAATTCGAACCCACGACGGTGCAACTGCGAGCCAGATTGGGCCGGTGAGAGGTGTGAAATTCCTTGTGTTAATGGAACGAACTATGGTAACTCGTCAGGTTGCATTTGCCACCCTTGTTTCTCCGGTTCGGGCTGTAATATCGAGTGCTCGCTGAATGGAAAGTGCATGAATGACAAGTGTGTCTGCGATAAAACCTTGGGATACAAAGGAGATGTCTGTGAAATTGAAAGCTGTCCTGGGTGGCCTTTCGACTGTAGTAACCATGGTAGCTGTAACAGAGCGACCTTTGAATGTACATGTGTTCCAGGCTGGTCAGGTGCTGCATGCGACATTCCAGACTGCCCAGGTGATCCGGACTGTAATGGACGCGGTACGTGCACCCCACCCATAACGGACAATGAAACACCCAAGTGCACCTGCCAGCAGGGATGGATGGGTGTTGCTTGTGAGAAACCTTGCAAATTTGGCACACCAACTGCTGATCATATTTGCGTCTGTGACGATTGCTACAATGGGCCTGCCTGTGACATGCTCTGCTCAAACCACAGCTCAATTTGTGAAAACAGAGAGTGTGACTGTGGGTTTGATGGGTGGCGTGGAACTTATTGCGAGAAGAAAGGATGTCCCGGTTACAAAAAAGACTGCTCGGGGCATGGCCAGTGCTTAAGTGCATCACAAACGTGCATCTGCGATCCCGGCTGGAGTGGTAGGCCTTTTTGTTTGAACTTTGCATTTAGATATTGTGCTTTTGTAACCATTTGGGTTTCTGTCAAAGGCAGTTAAACGGTAAATATCTCTGAAACCAATCCTCCGGTAAATCACATTAAGGGCGTTTTCCACTCGGCTAAAATTTGTGTTTTGGGCAATCTCCATATCAGTATACATTTGATCATGAAGGGCCTCTGCAAATAATCCTATGAATCTAAAACTTTCTTTAAAGAGCTATGGAGAGTGGTTCGAGTTTGATCTCCAAGGATTCCAAGAATTACAAGTCATAAACAGTATTTCAAAATGTTTAAGTTTACCTTGAAGTCAATTATCTGACTTTTCTTAAATCCTCAGGTATTGGTTGCGAACAAACTGATTGTCCTGGCGACCCAGATTGCAACAATAGAGGTCAATGTATACCGGCTGAGACTCCTTACTGTGGTAACTGTGCGCAAGGCTGGGCAGGCATAGCTTGCGAGTTACCTTGTGTAAATGGCACTCAAAACCAAGTAGATCCTACAGTTTGTGACTGCGAACCCTGTTTTAATGGATTAAGCTGCGATGTGTTTTGTTCTGCTAGAGACAACGCTACGTGTTCCGAAGGCAAATGCTTTTGTGGTTTCGAAGGCTGGCGTGGAGATTTCTGTGAAAAGAAGGGATGTCCAGGTTTGTTTAACAAAGATTGCTCCGGACGTGGTACATGTAACAGTGCAACACAGACGTGTGATTGTAATCCAGGATGGGCCGGGCGGGGATGTCATGAGCCAGCTTGTCCTGGAACCCCAATGTGCAGCGATCATGGTACGTGTGAAAGCCTTGCAACCATATCATTCTGTTCTTGTGACAAGGGTTGGATGGGCCGAGCTTGTGAAACCAAATGTGAACATGGTGCTCCGCAGCAAACGGGTGATGGATCCTTCTTTTGCCAGTGCAATGACTGCTACAGCGGTATATCGTGCGACCTGGAGTGCTCTGGACGTGGAAACTGTACCAATAACACTTGTGACTGTGGATTTGAAGGGTGGCGCGGTCCTACGTGTGCCACCAAAGGTTGTCCAGGTTGGGGATCAGACTGCTCCGGTCATGGGTCATGCATTACTGCCTTAGGTATATGTTATTGTCGACCTGGTTGGTCTGGAAGAGGGTGTCACATACCTAAGTGTGCAGGTGGTGGAAACTGCAGTGGGCATGGTGTCTGTGATGGGATCAACCACGATCCCCCAGTATGTGTCTCTTGCGACTCGGGATATATGGGAGAAGGCTGCGAGCAAAGATGCATCAATGGAACGGTTATAAAGGGGGATGGCGATACTTGTAAGTGCGACAGTTGCCACACTGGGGTCGACTGTGGTGTTGAATGCAATGGTCATGGGAAATGCGAAAACGAAAAATGTGTTTGTGATAGTGGCTGGAGAGGACCTAAGTGTGAAACTGTTGGTTGTCCAGGACAAGGGGCCGATTGCACCAATCACGGTGTTTGTTTGCTAGTTACACAACAATGTGACTGCTTTAATGGATGGAAAGGAGAAGGCTGTGATATCCCAGATTGCCACGGTGTTCCCGACTGCAATGCATTAGGAACATGTTATGGAGGAGTTGATCCACCAAAATGCGTGAACTGCACAAACAATACGATGGGCCCCTCGTGTGAATTTCCTTGCATAAATGGCAGGGAAAACCCACCAGACAGCGTTATATGCGAGTGCGATCCATGCTATAACGGCCTGGCTTGTGACACTGAGTGTTCTGGACGAGGAACTTGTAGAGAAGACGTGAATCCTAAAAGATGTGAATGTGATTCGGGATGGAAAGGCCAAACATGCGAAACATTAGACTGCCCTGGGGAGCCAGATTGTAGTGGACGCGGAGCCTGTGTGCAGCAGGGATCTCCTCCCACGGCGGTATGCCTTTGCAACCAAGGATTTGATGGTGATGACTGCAGAAAGCTTGTCTGCCCTGGTCAACCCATGTGCAGTAACAGAGGGACCTGTACATTGGTGGGTGGAATTCCAGCCTGTGTCTGTAATCATGGCTTTGACGGAAGCTCATGTGAGCGTTGTCTGCCTCAGTTTACTGGATCAGAATGCGATGAATGCGTATCAAATTACATTGGATGGGCAGTTGGCTGCAACGTTTACTGCGTCCATGGTAACGGAACGGGACATAACAAGGACATTTGTACGTGCCATAATGATGCAAATTTTGGTTATTGGAATGGAACAAGCTGTGACCACTGTGTGTTTGGCTGGGGTTTGCCATCTTGTGCGGTGTGTGATGATGCACATGTAGGAGAAAATTGCGATATTGACTGTTTTTCAGCACATGCACAATACCGTGACGAACTAGACGGAGACTGGGGTAAACGTCCTCTGGAACCAATTGTGAGCTGTTTATACGAGAACGCCCCTAACGAAGTTTTCGCTTGGTTTGGATACCACAACAAAAATCCTCACAATGTATACGTGAGTGTTGGAGCGGACAACTTTTTCACCAGACCTTACGTTGATATTGTTCCTGGAGGATTGAAGGGTTTTGTTCTGAAGACCAGTGGTGCAGACAATACTACTAACAACCTTGTTCCTTTACCAACCCAAGATTATGGTCAGCCTATTAAGTTCGTACCTGGCAGACACGAAAAAGCTTTTAAAGTTAGGTATGAACAAACTGACACTACTAGTAATAATTAACTCTGAATTCATATAAGTCACATATATCGCTCGTGAAGTAGGATACTACCGTAACTAATTTGGTATTTAACTTTCACATTTACGTATGAAAAAAAGGAATAATTTGTTATATGTGCCTTTTTTTGTCCTTTGAGATTACTTGTTGTTCCGCTACTTAAATGGTTCTAAAACTGTTGGAAACTTCTGGTTGAGATAAACCTAGCGAAGGGTTTTTTAATCAAACACAAATCTTTCTAAAGATGAATGAAACCGTTTATTGAAGGCTTCAACATATCCCAGCACAGTTAAAACGTCAGCAACCAGAACTGTAATGTAGTCTTGTTGTTTTCCATTTTCCTTCAGGCTGGAAGACACCTATCCGATTGCCTGGGTTTTAGCGTACCCACTATCAAACGAGAGAAATGCAGCGGTAGCAAATCAATCTCTTCTCCATACCATGAAGTGTACCAACATTGAGGGACAGGGGAGTGACGTAAGTCCAATTGATGTCTATCTTATAGAATAATTACATGATATGTTGTCATAAGACTAATAAAAGCGGTTTAGCTCGAACGGATTATGGGAAAGAGGACTAATGCTGCAATAGCTCAAGCCGAAATCACGAAGGATTCAGTATGAAAATCATGTTGCAGTCCAAAACATAAAGCCTATTCACATCTGCGTTTCTTGTTAATAGAAATATGAAGCTAATACTATGACATTCAATACTTTAGGTTTCAAGAGAAAACTACACATGTTCCTGTCTTGATGGACATTGGGGCTTTGCATGCCAGTTTGATTGTCCTGGCGGACCTCAAGCCCCATGTCATAACAATGGCTTTTGTAATAAAACGACGGGATTGTGTTCATGTGATCCTAACTGGCGCGGAGACGAAAACTGTACCGCATGCTCGCCAGATTGGTATGGTCTTGATTGCTCGGTGGTCAATCATAATCTAAATAATCACACCGCAGCAGCATATGCACATGGGTACTTTATAACGATCGACGGTGCAGGGTACAAATTCTTGGGAAACGGAGAATACCATTTGTTATTGTCTCATTTATGGGAAGTCCAGGTTCGAATGGTCACATGCTTTTCTTCGAGTTCTTGTGTCAATGCCATTGCTGTGAGGATTGAACAACACACGGTATTGATGCATTCAAGGTTTATCGATCGAAAGGAACCATTTGTTTTTGTAAATGGAAAGAAAGTGTATTCTGTTAGTTTTGAATTTGGCCCAGCAAGTCAGCGATTTACTTTCAAACGGACCTCCCGGTTACAATTTGTGCTTTCATCCTCCTATGGTGTCCGGCTCATCGTTCGTTTATACGACCGATATCTTGATGTCCATTTGCGTGCAGACAACCAAACGTATTGTAAAACAAGCCAGGGACTGTGGGGTAACTGTAACCTCAACTCATTTGATGATCTGTACAGCAGAGATGGTAAAATAGTTACAAGACTGAATGTCTCTCAATCTTACGTTACTGAAATTTATGGAAAGTCTTGGGAAGTGACTGAAGGAGACAGTTTGTTCGTCTACGACATCAACAACTACCACGAGAAAAGAGAGCTCTATGGTGGTGGCTACGCGTTACATTTTAACAACGCGGGTGCCCATACTGAAGAAATCTACAGCTTCTCTTTATCTGACATCACTATTGAGTTCATGGTTCGCACTGAGAGTGAAAACGGAACTCTTCTCTCGTACACCAGCACAGACATGTTTGCTGTAATTCTGGAATCTGGCAAGATCAAGTTACGCTACGATGATATCATTTTAGATACTTTGGCGGTAATTCAAACGAACCAATGGAATCATATTGCTTTGGTCTGGTCATTATCCACGCGAATTCTTCAATTCTATCACAGGGATGATACTGGAAAACGCGTAAACAGTCGGAATTTTCCAATTGCCAGTAATGTGAATGTCTTTCAACCAGGAGGAAGTCTTGCCTTAGGTTACTGTATGCCACCACCAGGTGGACTGACACTACCTGTTACAGAGGGATTCATCGGCCAAATTGACGAACTACGAATTTGGAACCAAAAGCTCGATCCATTTTCTATCTCAGCTAACTGGAGAGGAAACATTGGCTGCACCATGCGGGTTCAAAACCTTGCAAGTCTTTGGAAGTTTAATGAAGGCGATGGCATTGTCGCGCATGACTGTGTATCAGGCGCACATATATATTTCAAATCGGGTATCTGGCGAGGACCAACGTGGGTCTTCTCAACGGTTGAAATTCCTCAATTTTCAGTAGACACTAGTACCGCATACAGCTTCAGATTCGGTAATTCCTGGATGAGTGCAGAGCAGTTATGTTACAACCTTATCTTTGGGTCCATGTTGAAATCAGAACTTATTCTTCTGACTACCTCGACACTATGGTTTTACCACATGTCGTGTGTAACATCAGTTACGAGGAGCAATGATGATAGTCATTCTTACTGGACCTTAATGGCTTTGTCAGATTTTAATCAATTGATCGTAGAACACAGTTCGTGGTTTGCTCAGAGCCTTTGTAATTCGGTACCTGCTTTCAACTTCCCTGTTTGGTATGGAAAGGACTGCGACCATCAATGTAAATTTGGCCTTCCAGGTACCAATGAGCACAAGTGTTTTTGCATGAAAGGATTTTTTGGTTTGAACTGCTCAAGCGAATGCCCAGGTGGCAACAATATGCCCTGTAATCGCCAATCCTCATGTGATGTTTCAATCGGAACATGTAACTGTCCAGTTTCATCAAACACCACGTACGATTGTAGCGTCTGCAGTCCAGGATGGATTGGATCGGATTGCTCTGTCTCACTCGGAGGAAATAGGAGCAGCTCAGAAAACTTTACTTGCCAAGGTTTTGGAGCAACTCATTACACAACGTTTGATGGCGTAGGTTACAATTTTGGGACATACGGAGAGTTCTACGTTATAAAAACTAATCAGTTCACCGCGCAGGTACGACAAATACCTTGTATGAATGCCTCTTTCTGTATTTCATCAGTAGGAGTGAAAATCGGCTCCACAGAGATCGCCATTAGAGCTTCGTACAATGGCACCGGAATGCCTTTGGTGTGGCTAAATCGTAAATTTACGGATGCGACATCTGTAATAATGGAAAACAACTTCAGTTTTCATAAAACTTCTCCTGACGTGTATGAGATCGTCAGGCCTGGTAAGATTTTACTGAGAGTGAAAGCATGGCAGGACTATCTTTCGTTTGTAATAACGTCAGCTCCCCAGTGGTGTTTTGTTGGCTCTGGAATTTGTTCCTCTTGTGACTCAAACGTTGTAAATGACTTTACAAACAGTACAGGTACCGTGTACTGGGGGAACAGTATTTCAGAAGGTATTATAATCAATAACTTACGTTCGCAGTGGCAAGTCCCTGCTTTTGACTCACTGTTTATATTTGGATACACGAACTATAAAGAGCGACGAGAAATAACTACCAACGGCTACGCTTTGAGCTTTAATGGTACAACTGCTTCCACAGGATCTTTGAACGCTTTTGTCAAAGGCAAAGACTTCACTATTCAACTGTTCGTAAAAGTGTACTCATCTGGAGGTACAATCCTGTCTTACTCAAATCAATTTACATTTGCCCTAGTCAACGATGTCCGAGTCAAAATCTTCCTCGGTGGAATTTCATATGATATGGGAATTGCACTACCTTCTGGAACTTGGGTACAAGTGTCTATTGCGTACAGAGCTTCTACAGGTAAATAAATTGGATATGCATATTGCTTTGTCTTTTAAGTTTGTCATTAGTGCAACTGAGTCAATTAAATGAGATCTTAAGTGATATTTGTAGGTATTGAACCCAGTTGTTTGCTATTTTTTTTTTCAGGAGTCCTAACTTACTACCAGCTGAACGCTCAAGGTGACCTTTATTACAAGCAGACATACATTGGCGTAGAAATGTTTTCCTCGGGTGGTACCCTATGGCTTGGTCACTGGCACATATCACACGAACATATAACTGGTGTTCCGCTGCAACCTTTCTTTGGAGTCATTGATGAAGTTCGTATCTGGTCTTTTTCACTGGACACTTTGATTATTCGCCAGAGTTTCCTTCTTGTTATTACAGCAAAAGTGCCGTCACTGAGTGCCCTTTGGTTGTTTGATGAGGGTGTAGGCAGAGTGATCGCAAATTTGATATCCGGCTCCCCAGATATGTACCTTCCAGAAGTCATCAGTCGTCGTCCAATGTGGCAGTTCTCCTATGTCCGTGAAGTGTTTCCATCCATGGTTGTGAGTACATCTGTGCAGTTTAGTATTACCTTTGAGCTGCTGGCCAAAAAGCGATGTTTGGAACTTATTTATCATCCCCATCTACAAGGTCAATGTGGACAGCTTCTGTCTCGTGCTGTTACCCAGTTTTTCTTTAAGGCCTGTCTTTTTGATGTCCAGTCCTCCAGTTCCCTGGACGCCTCTCATATCTCACTGATTGCGTATGCCGACTACTGCATGACAGTTCTACATCTTTCTTCGTGGCCTGCTCAACGCCTTTGTGAACAATTACCTCAAAGTCTTCCTCGACGATGGATTGGTCCCGACTGTTCAGTGAAGTGTGTGTTTGGAAGCGCGGACAAAAATAATGCCAGTTTATGTGTGTGCCATCGAGGATACTGGGGGGAGGACTGTGCCAATGAGTGCCCCGGAGGTGGAAATAAACCTTGCAACGATCATGGCAACTGTGACGTCAAGACTGGGTCTTGTGAGTGTGATTTGAACTGGCGAGGAAATGGCGATTGCTCCAACTGTACGCCTGGTTGGACAGGATCTGATTGCGGAGTAGCTGTGGCAGTAACCCAGTTGTCGACGTGTTCTGCTTTTCTCGGAGGACATTTTACAAACTTCGACAGTGCTCACTTTAACTTTTTTGGAGTAGGTGAATTTTGGTTTGTGCGAAGCATTCACTTCCATGGCCAGCTTAGACAAATTCCATGCCATAATGGAGAATCTCGTTGTATCAGTGCGATAGCGTTTTCATTCCTATCAGAATGGAAGGTGACAGTCCATGCACCATACGAAGAGAGCAAACAGCCTGTTGTTTGGGTTAATGGGAAGGAAGCAGTATATAGTTCAACAAGACTTCAAATTTCCAGCGAAGTATTCCTAGAGAAGACTTCTTCAACCACCTATCTTCTGAGCAGTGTACTAAAAGATCTTAAATTTCAACTGCGTGTTGTAGGAAGGGGACTCGTAATTGCTGGTCATGTAAACCAATCCTTTTGTAATGGCACGAACGCTCTGTGTGGAAACTGCGACGGCAATAGGGATAACGACTTCAATGTGACAGTTGGGTCTTCTCTTGAAGATACTTGGAGAGTTTCTAAAGTAGAAAGCCTCTTTATTTATCAAAAGGCTGGTTATGAAGAAGAACGAGTTGTTACCGGTGCTGAGTACGCTTTAATGTTCAATAGTATTGGCATCTGTAGCGATCTGATGCCTGATGTCATAAACGCTTCCTCCATCACAATAGAACTTCTCTTCAAAATGTATTCTGGCCCAAACGCGGGAGGTGTTCTCTTAACATACAGCAAAGCGATATCACTTACCTTGTTTATTGAAGGAACCCTTAAGGTACGCATAGGAATAGGAATTTGGGACACCGGACTTTCTCCACAAGTTGACGCTTGGAACCAAGTTACTCTTGTCTACTATAATACTACAGGAGCAGTCTACATTTATCACATCAATTCCGTCGGTATTGTTCGTCTAGCTACACGAACTATGATTGCAGGAATATTCAACAGAGGAAGCATTATTTCCATTGGGCAATGGATACCATCTCTGGAAGTCAGCACCAAAGAAAACGATAGCTTGCCAGGTTTTGTTGGAGTGATTGATGAAGTACGCTTCTGGAACCGTGAATTTAGCCTGCAAGATGTCACAAAAAGCTGGGGGGTGAACGTCCTTTCCACTGCGCGATACATTGTAATATTGTGGAAGTTCAATGAAGGTCAGGGTAGTGTCATCCACGACTTGGTAAGCAGAGTGCACTTATACATTCCATCCATTCGAAAGGCTCCACGATGGGTTTTCAGTTACGCTGACATCAAAATTCTACCTGTAGCCCCTGAGATTACGTTCAGTACGAGCAGGATGAAAGTTGAAGCAGAGTCCTGGTGCCATACGCACATCCAAAACTCACCTCTGGGCATTGCGTGCGGAGGGCTTGGTGGTGGAACAGTGGCCTTCTACGTTAGAGCATGTTTACGAGTAATTGCTTCAAGTAATCAAGTGTCTCTTGGAATTAGTGTTGTGGTGGCCTTTGCGGACGCCTGTGAAATCCAAGCTAACCTTACCATTTGGCCAGCGAGGCAGATGTGTACGTATGAAGCGTTCCGCAACTCAGGGCTCACGAACTGGATAGGAGTAAATTGCGATATCCCTTGCCCCTATGGTTACCAGCCCCTTGGACTGTATGGAAGATGTCAATGTGATCCAGGCTTCTGGGGACAGACCTGTAGTGGTGTATGCCCCGGTGGACTTGTGAACGTTTGTAATGGACATGGAAGTTGTATACATAGCAATGGAATATGCAAGTGTTCACAGAGATGGCAAGGAGCACTTGACTGCAGCCAATGCACACTAGGTTTCTTTGGAAAAGACTGTTCGGTAGCCGTTGTACCACCGACAATACAGCAACCAGTAACATCAGTCTTCGGGACCGGCTACATTGTGACCTTAGATGGCATCAAGATCAATGTCAACGTTGCTGGGGAATTCAGTGTGCTGTCCCTGTTTCGCTATGGACTCAGCATCCAGTTTCGTCAGGTACGAATCGGAAGTTACGTATGAGTGAGGTGCGTGATAGTGGTAGTACAACGGAACGTGTTAGCTATCCACAGCAGCGTCGGAGTTGCTGGCCAAGTTTTGGTGACACTGAATGGCACACCCATAAGTCAGAATAGCTTAGTTTCATTAGGAGTTTCAGGATTTATGTTTCAACGAACTTCGCTCAACACTTACGTAGTGGTTGGTCCAGAAGGCTTCAACTTTGTCATCAATTCCCTTGCAATTCATTTTGACGTATCCATAACCATGAATAAAGATTTGTGCCAGGAAACCTGTGGTCTCCTTGGAAGGTGTCGTATCCCAGGATCACGTGCTCCACCGTCAAACTGTACCGCTGGAGGAATTTTGGATACCTACGATGTATCAAACATAACTCAAGAACTCTTGATTTCCTATGTGAACTCATGGGCTATTCCACAAAACGAAAGTTCGTTTGGTCCCATACTGAACATTTCGGGTGAACCTCAACTGAATAGTGTGTCCGGGAGCTGTCTTTACTTCAACGGCACATCACTAATCAGCGCACCCCTGCTCAACATTTTTTCTGGAAATTATGTAACAATCCAGTTCTTTGTCAAAGCCAAGAATCCACATGTTTACGCTGGGACTATTATCTCATATGCACTAATTGAAACATTTGCAATAGCTGTAAACAAAACAATCTTCATTTACTTTGGCACCACCGTCATTGATACTAAACTTGTACTTGAAACAGGGCTTTGGAATCACGTATCTTTCGTCTACATGCGGCGTTCAGGTCAAGTGCAGTTCTATCTCGTAAACTCTATTGGAATCATTCAATCGAGAGTATTCTTTGTCGGTGTAGGAATATTTGCAGAAGGTGGTACCCTGGCCCTTGCTCTTTGGCAGGTGACGAAAGCATCACTCTCTCTGCCTGGCTTTGTAGGCTGGATAGACGAGCTGAGCTTTTGGAATAAGCGATTTGATTCAGTTACCATACAACAAACTTGGAATTCCAACCTGCAAGCAGAGACGCCAGGAATTGTACTCTTATGGAAGTTTAATGAAGGGAGTGGATTTATTTGTCGGGCTACAGTAGGATCCCTCAACTTTGGCCTTCCAACTCCTCCATGGAAGAGTCCAGTATGGTACCCTTCAGATGCTATTAAAGTAGGCAATGTTTTCATCACGCCAGATCTCTCCGAAATAGTGCCAGACAACTCGACGCGAGAACTATGTTCAGATGTTTTCCTGAAAGGCCCACTATTCAATGAGTGCGCTAATGTGACTGGAGGGTCCGAATTTTACTACGAGGCTTGCATATCTGAGGTATCTACATCAGGAACACCTGAATCAGCTCTTATGATAGCAACTACCTTTGCAGAAGAATGCCAAGTGGCCTTGAACTTGTCGAGTGTGCCAGGACAAGGACTTTGTAATATTATCCCGGGTGGACGGTATAATGACTGGGTTGGGATAAACTGTTCCACAAAGTGCATTGTTGGACTGTTCACTGATGGCAATTGCAAATGTGAGAATGGATACTGGGGAATAAATTGTTCTATAAAGTGCCCTGGAGGTGCGGAAAACCCCTGTTATGGACATGGGAAGTGTGATATCATAAGTGGTGAATGTAACTGTCAGCCAAATTGGGATGAACGCAAAAATTGTTCTAAGTGCACTCCTGGCTGGATCGGAAAAACATGTGCAGTGGCAGTGTCAACAACAGAAACACCAGTGACTACTTATACGTCTAAAGTCTGTACTATATTAGAGAGAGGCTATGTTACCGGATTTGATGGCTCACTCTTTACCTTCACAACATTAGGAGAGTTCATAATGATCAATTCTTCCATTCTTCAAGTGCAAGTTCGACAAGTGCCATGCGAGAAAAGCAGCGTTTGTTTAAATGCCATTGGTGTGACGTTCAATGACTTAACGATTAGTGTCCACGCGGCCTACGAGAGTGATTCATTTCCAGTGGTCCATGTAAACGGAGAACTTACAATTGTAGGCGAAGAGCCAGGTAAAGATATGCTAAAAAATAATATTAGCATTCAGCCTATTTCCAGGTCTGCCTATAGGATTGTTATCTCACTCTATTTGACTATACAAACAGTCTTCTCAGATCGTTACATGAGCGTGGAGTCAACAGTGACGTCTAATTTCTGTCAGCTTGTCGATGGTTTATGCGGCTCCTGCGCTAAACTACGTGTCAGTCAAAATGCAACTCAGGGGAGTGGTGGTTCTGTCTCCTCAGTAGATAGACCAACGACTGTTTTGGAGGAACTTGGAAGATCAAATGCCACTAGTGGGAACGTTAATGAATTTGTAAAAAAAGAGTTGCCAGTTCAAGATCCCATCATAATCATCGATACAGAAATGCACAAAGAAACGCGGGTTGTGTACGGAGGTGTGTACAGTCTCTACTATCGTTTTACCGCTGTGGTCACTCAAACAGTTGTCAAACTCTTTGCAAGTCAAACGTTGACCTTCCAGCTTTTAGTCAAATCATGCGATCCCCAGATCTGCGGAGGAACTGTGATCTCCTTTGCATCGAATGTCACGCTTTACGTCAGCAACCATGTAACAGTGAAGGTTGTTATTGGATTAGACGTCTTTGACACCGGCATTGCCACTGAAGCAGAAAGGTGGAATCAAATTACAGTAGTATTTGTCCGTGAGAGGCTTCAACTCTTTGTGTTCGTCACATTTTCATCTGGGCTTGTGCAAGTGCGAAAGTTTAGTTTTTCTATCGACCCTTTCATTAGTGTAGGAACATTTGCTATAGGCATGTGGCAACCGGCCTCTGGATCTATTAGCATCCAGCCAACCAGTTTCTTCCTCGGTCAAATAGATGAAGTATACGTGTGGGCAAGACCCTTCGATTATGCATTGGTTGAACAAAGCTGGCGATCAAATATTCAACCGGGTGCTCCATAACTTACAAATTTGTGGAAATTTAATGAGGGCAAGAATTCAATCCTTAAAGACCTGGTGACTGGTGTTACTCTACTCTTCCCAAGGTATCCATTAGGCAAGCCAGAATGGGTTTTCTCTGATGCCCCAATAGCCTCTGTTGTCGCAGTGAACCCAAATGAAAATAATGCCACTCTACGTACAATCGCCATCAAGGCTTGTTTCCAGTTCATATATGAGGGACCAATCCGTTCAGCTTGTGATGCCTTAGGCAATGTCACACTAGAATTTTACTTCCGCCCATGTGTTCAAGCAGTAGTGGACACAGGATTGACAGTTGAATCAATTGATGTCGTAATAACAATCGCAGATTATTGCCAAAAACTGTTTGGTTTGCCTCATTGGCCAGCTCAGTCTTTGTGCAACAAATTTCCTGGAAAGCGTTTTCCCAACTGGATTGGAAGGAACTGTACCATCCCTTGCATTTTTGGTCAAGCTGCAAACGAAAGCGAAGTCTGTGTATGTGATCCTGGATTTTACGGAACGAACTGCTCTGGCATCTGCCCAGGAGGAAAAGGTAACGCGTGTAACAGTCATGGAGTCTGCGATGTCGTCACTGGCAAGTGTTCTTGTGAGCTTAATTGGCAAGGAAATGAAAACTGTTCAACTTGTACTCGAGGCTGGGCTGGAACAGACTGCTCAATAGCAGTCACTCAGTGGCCATCCGGCAGTGTCGTAATAGGCATTGGTGCAGTATTGCTTGGCGGGCAATTTACATCACTCAATGGGGTTAGTTACAGCTTGCAAGTGACTGGGGAGTACTATCTTATTTACTCCATTCACGTCTCTGTAAATGTGCAAATTCGCCTGGTAACTTGCACTCAACAAGAATCATGTATAAATTCTATTGCACTGCAAATTGAATCTAACAGAGTAGTTTTGCATGGACCATACAGTGCTGGTAGAGGCCTGATCATATGGTTAAACGGAAAAGTCATCGATATAGATTTGCATCCAATCACTCATGAACTCTACGGTTTGATTGTCAGCAAAATCACAGCTCAACTGTGGGAAGTGAAATACACTGGTTTGTACCTAAAAATACGCGTTATTGGGCGCTTCCTAAGTCTAAGTGTTGAGGCATCGGGTTTGGTTTGCAAGTCATCCATTGGCCTACTAGGCGCTTGTAACCAAGGACTACTAGAATCGCTTATGTCGTATTATCCGACCAAAAATTGTTCTGAAGAAGGCTTTATGTTAAACCTAAGTCGAAACCATCCCAATGTGTTTAGTCAAGGTGACACCCTTGGTGAAAAGAATGCCTCTGATACCAAAGCAAAGACCCAAGATGTCATTAACACTCTTATAACCACCAAGCTCAAGGTGAAGGAATGCCATAGTTTGTTTGAGTACAAATATGGGGAAGTCGTAGAATATCGAGAAGCGAATGCAGGATATGTGCTTTACTTCGACCAAACTACTGTTGTGTCTGATGTAATCTACAAAGCATTCTCATTCACAGACCTATCTGTTAAGATCATGTTTAAAACGGTGCGTTACGGGGTAATAATATCTTATACCTTGAGAAAGACATTCTTCGTAACGAACACAGGTGGAAAGTTCACCATCTTCTATGGAGACAATGTTTACCATACAAACATAGCTGCAGAGCTTAACAAATGGAACCAGGTCAGTCTGGTGTTCAGAAAATCCACCACAGTCTTGCATTTTTACTATTTTTCGTCTGGAGGCCAGCTACATCGCCTTGACTTAAACATGGGAGTTGATATCTTTACACCAGGAGGAATAATTGCTTTGGCTGGTTGGATGCCATCTCTCGACGGATCCGGAACTCAACCAACTGATTTCTTTGCTGGATTCATAGATGAAGTTCGCATATGGACACGGTATTTCCATCCTGCGTTCATACTGCACACTTGGAACAGATCGGTAAGCGTAAAAGCCCAAGACCTCGCGCACGCATGGAAATTTAACGAAGGAGAAGGAATTACAGCGATCGATAAAGTAACTGGTATGAAGTTAGACCTTCCTTTTAAGCCATGGAGAAAACCAGAATGGAGATATTCTGATGCAGTATTGCAAATGCCCTTCTACGATAGACCACTACATTTCAACTTTACCAACTAAAGTTTACAAGTAGCTGCGGAACAATTTTGCAACAGAACAATATTAATGGGCACATTACATTCGAATTGTAAATCCTTGGGACCTGGCGTGTCAACATTTTACTTCAGGTCGTGTCTCCAAAGAATCGCGACCTTCGAGTCCTTGTACATGTCAATGGAAGTTATTATAGCGTACGCCGATTACTGTCAAACATTCAACAACTTAACAGTCTGGCCAGCGAAACATCTTTGTAATGAATTCCCTGGAAGAGAATTTCCCATTTGGTTCGGAGAGCGATGTGACAAAAAATGTGTCTACGGTAAGAAGCTGGCCTCTGAGACATGCGTATGCTACCACGGCTACTGGGGTCTGGAGTGCACAAATGCTTGCCCTGGCGGAGCTGCGAACCCATGTAACAACAACGGACTGTGTAATGTCATCACAGGAGAGTGTGAATGTATTGTTAATTATAATGGAACCCAGGACTGAGGCAAGTGTTCTCCAGGGTGGAGTGGCCTCGACTGTTCCTTGGCTCTTGTATCACTCAACCTTAACCGTCAAACCTCCACCGCCATTTCATCGACTGACGGCCATTATGTCTCGTTTGATGGCTACAGCTATACTCTCGTGTCCTTGGGTGAATTTTATCTGATGAATCTACCTCACCTGTCATTCCAGGTTCAAGTTCGCCACGTGCCCTGCAGACATCAGACGGTTTGTGTTAATTCCATTGGAATACGGATTTCGTCGACCGAAGTTTCTTTTCACGCTCCTTATAATACCGGTGGAGCTCCATTAATCTGGGTCAATGGAAAGCTTCTACTTCTTTCAGGACTGATTACCACACTAGGATCACCACATCTTGGCATCTTACTGAATTACAAGGGGCGGAACCACTATCAAATTAGTTGGAGAGACAATTTTGCCATGGGTATTCGAATTCATGGACGATACTTGAGTTTTATAGTCGACGTTACGTCACCTTATTGTTATAACTCAACAGGCCTACTTGGATCCTGCGACAACGAGCCTAACAACGATTTCAAAGCTAGCTTCAACGAAAGCATAGTACCAACAAATGTCTCTCAGCCTGTCTTAAATACAGAAATTAGAAGTCATGCCTTTGTGTATGAAAAAGACAGAGTGATCGTTCTAAAATATAAGCATTACCACGAGAAACGACTACCAACAGGAGGTATCTATGCTCTTCTGTTTAATCAGTCAGGGGCGTCGTCGAAACCACTGATAAAAACGTTCAACTTCAATGCAGATATAACGCTTGAAATTCTACTACAGCCATACCAGTTCGGTGGAACAATCTTCTCCTATGCAGTCTTACAAACGTTTGCAATTACTATTGAAAGTTCTCTTAGAATTCACTTTGGAAAAGCGATCATTGATACGGGCGTGAACGTGACTATCAACCAGTGGAACCACGTATCACTTGTTTGGTACCACAAGTCTCGAGTGCTAGAGTTTTATCACTTCAACTTTCAGGGAAAAGTGCAACGACGATCCTACGTGCTCTCGTCAAATCCATTTCTACCGGGCGGTATTCTTTCCCTTGGACAATGGGAGCTATCCCCTGGAGACAGCGAGGCTCATATAGTCGCATCTTTCGTTGGCACCATTGACGAGATCCGTGTATGGAAGCGAGCTTTTAATCCTGCATTCATACTTCAGAACTGGCGAATGAATGTTGTACCGACTCATCCTGACCTCTCTGGGCTTTGGAAAATGAACGAAGGTGAAAGTGATATCATAGTAAATCTTTTGACCGACGAACACATCTATCTACCGAGATCACCATGGCAACAGCCTCACTGGGTATTTTCTGATGCTGACATCAAAACAAACTTAACATCTTCCGATCAACCATTCGAAATGCACTTTTCCAATGAGACATTAGAGAGGATGGCAAAGACCTTTTGCTACGAGCTGTTCTACAAGAGTACACTTCATGACCAGTGCCACGGCCAATTAAAATCTGAGCTGGAGTTTCATTATCTTGTTTGCCTGAAAGACATTGCAACATCTAGTTACATTAGTGCAGCCCTGACAGCTGTAGTTACCTTCGCTGATCACTGTCAAGCTGTCTTCAACTCTACTACCTGGCCGGCTCAGTCACTGTGCAATAAGTTCCCTGGATCCCACTTCCCACTATGGATTGGAGATAGGTGTGACGTGAAATGCGTTTTTGGTGTTGCGGATCCTGATGACCGTAACCGATGTATCTGTATGGAAGGCTACTGGGGGAGTGACTGTTCGCAGATATGTCCTGGTGGGCTGCTAAATATTTGTGCAGGACACGGTTGGTGTGATAGAACAACTGGACAATGTCAATGCCAAGTGAACTGGAAAGGTGACGAAAATTGTAGCAGTTGTAGTCCAGGATGGAATGGAACAGACTGTCAATTTGCCGTCAAGCGTGTCACCGGTATAACATCGCAAAACGTCTTTGTTGCATCTATAGGAGGAAATGGCTACTTTACAACATTTTTTGGTGTCAGTTTTACTTACAGAGCGGTTGGTGAGTTCTATGTACTGCAGTCTGCTTCCCAGAATTTCGTCATCCAGCTTCGACAAACACCATGTATAGTCGATGGCAGTTACACCCCGCTTTGCACGACAGGTTTCTCGTTTAGTCTGAATCGTAATGTTATTGTCATCCGCGCGCCGGTTACTACGTTTTCAAGAACAGTTCCTATCTTTCCTCTTGTTTGGTTGAATGGAAATTTTGTACAAGTTGACCACAGAACGCAACTATCGGTTGACTTTGTTATGGTGCGTATCTCCACGGTCGCGTTTGAGATCTACGGTCTAAACGATGTCAAGTTTGGTATAACTTTGGGAAATAGTCTTTCCGTAACTATTCACCTGCCAGCTATGTACTGCCAAAACTCAACAGGCCTTCTTGGTGCATGCACCGGCACCTCCTTTAACAACTCGAGCAGTCTTCAAGCGCACATCACATCTCTGAAGCAGAGTTCAGTAGTTGACAAGTTACAAACATTGTTCATTTACAAGTATCTGCATTACTCTGAATACCGAAGTCCAACTGGTGCAGGATTCAATCTATTTTTCAGGGATCACTCCGTGCGCTCTGGCCCCCTACATTTACCTCCTGTTGATGTGCTAACAGTTGAACTGCTCATAAAAACCCACCAAACAGGAGGGATCATCTTCTCGTATTTAAGCCAAAATATCTTTGCTGTAATCGATAATACAACACTGGGAATTATCTACAAAGGCACTGTTTATGATACCGGGCTTAAACTAGAGATCAAGCAGTGGAATCAACTCACAATTGTCTTCAAGCAACTCGTTGGGACTCTTTACTTCTACCACGTCAGTTCCACTGGTGCAGTTAAAGTCCGCGTATTCAAGTTGGATAAAAACGTTTTCGTAGACGGCGGCTTCTTGGTATTGGGACAGTGGCAGCCATCACCCAGCTCAGACAGCATGCTTCCTCAATCAAGTTTTGTTGGTGAAATCGACGAGTTTCGTATCTGGAAGCGACGGACGAACTCAGACCTCGTGAAAAGTAATTGGAGACTGAATGTACAGACTGGCATTTACCCTGATCTGCTTCACCTTTGGAAGTTCAACCAGGCTAACGGAAGAATCATTCTTGACTTACTTGGAAAAAATGATCTATTTGTGACGAAGTTTCATGAGCCGCAGTGGACGTTTTCAGATGCTGATATTCCTCGCGTGAACCTGGAAGAAACAGCTTTTGTTAACCTAAGCTTGCAGCGAGATGCAGAATCCTTCTGTTTTAGCCTTATCCTCAGTGGACCGCTGTATGCTAAGTGTGAAGATCTCGGTATCCAGGTAGCACAATTCCACTACAAAGTGTGCCTGCACGACATTTCGCTGTCGTCTCAGTTACGTTCGGCCGTTTATCCCGTGGTTACGTTTGCAGACCATTGTCAGAACGATCTCAATCTAAGCGAGTGGCCAGCGAAGGAACTTTGTCATCACTTTGTCGACCAAAGATTTCCCTACTGGATTGGCTCAAGTTGTAATACACGATGCGTATTCGGGTATCCCATCCCAGATATAAACTCAACGGATGGCGTCTCTTGCAAGTGCGAACAAAACTATTGGGGAGTGGACTGTGCAAATCTATGTCCAGGTGGGTTGAGAGAAACTTGCAACGGACACGGTGTCTGTAGTGTAACTAATGGTACCTGCGAGTGTGAATCACACTGGAAAGGAAATACATCGGCTGAATATACCGCTCCAATCGTTGAAAACAATTCCATCCCGCCAATACCTTGCAGCAAGTGCACACCTGGTTGGACAGGAGCTGACTGTGCGATTGCAGAGGATTCCTCCATACTGGAGAATTCCTCTATCCCCAGAATTGCAATCAACTTTGGTGATCCTCATTTTACGAGCGTTACAGGAGTAAACTTTCACTTCGAAGCTCCCGGGGCGTACCACCTTTTCAACTCATCGGTTGTAGTTGCACAGGTGCTGATAGTTCCATGCAACAATAGAGTGTCCTGTCGAAGAATCAGCGAGGTTGCCCTGCGCACCGCGAAAAGAGAGCTGTCTGTTCGTTACAACGGTTTAGAAACAGTAGCAAGTAGTTTATTTGATTTAACAAGCAACACCTCCAAGGAGCTTTCAAAGTCTGATCAATGGGTCGAGGATGCAGATATCCAATACCGTTGGCTAACGGATAACATCCTGGAAGTTCGCATCCAAGAGGAAATCCAGTTTAACATTCTATCCTATTACGGAACCATCGGAACGGCAGTTGAAGTTTTAGAGCAGAAAGATCAAACAGATGGCATCTGTGGCGAGAAGGAGAGTATTTGGATAAGACAACAAGGAAACAAAAGCCTTAAATCGGAGAACCTTGTACCTGATACCTCTAACAATAGCACAAAAGATCAGCAAGGCCTTACCCAAGCAACGATTGAAACACAACTGATTACACGGTTCAGAATCATGGAAAAGGACAATTTCTTGACAACAAAATATGCTTGGCGTAGTTATTCTGGAGCTGGTTACATGTTGGAGTTCTCATCTGGTAACACTGCTGTTATGTATGCAAGCAACACAAGTTTACCAGTTCTCGATGAATTTACTATTGAAAGATGGGTCTGTTTGACGAATGCAGGCGTTAGCGTTGCTTCACTCTGTACCACGGACCAGAGAAACACCACTGAACCTGTCACCGGGGGTCACGCAGTTTTCTCTGTTGCCAACGCTATTAGGGACTTTGCAATAGTTTACAAAGACGGACTACAGGTGAAATGGGACAAGGAGAAATTTATAACGGGTATTAACCTTTACGAAGGAGTTTGGACTCATTTAGCTGTAACATGGAGGAGGATCGATGGCCGAATGCAAGCGTTCGTTTATTCAAACGGACAGCATCGTCAATCAACAAGATATGGGGTAAAAAATGGGAAGCAATTCTCTTTCAATGGTCTGTTTGTTCTAGGACGTTACATGCGAGGCTATATGGTAGACAGTGAATACGACATGTTTGGTGCGTTGGACGAGTTTAAGGTGTGGCAATATGCAAAGACGATGGAACAAATCAGGATGTCCATGAGCGTCAAGTTCGAGGATTACCGCGAAGGACTGTTGTTAAGCATACCTTTTGACGAAGGAGTGGGGCAAACGACGGTGGGGCACCTTTATAGTCCGATTCCTACTGAAGAAGCACTCTCTCTATTCGAGGCTCAAGTCGTTAATATGACCAATATTCATCTGTTTATTCATTCTGGAGACTCCCCTGGATGGGCCCCGTCAGGGGTGCACTTGACTCCCTTAGCGAACTACAGTCTTGCGTTCCTTAACAAAACTCTGGAAGAGGAGGCCCTAAAGAAGTGTTACGAGTCATTCTATGAAGGAAAGCTACAGGAACATTGCAGCCCGACACTGGTATCACAAGCTCTGTTTTACTACGAGTCTTGCCTTACGGACATTGCCGATTCAGGCAGTCTTGCACACCACAAACTTTCTGTAAGTCTCTTCGGTTTTTACTGCCAAAAGGTCCTTGGAATAAAAGAGTGCCTGCTACACGGAACCTACGACGCTTTCCTGCGCTGTCCAGGCGAAGAAAAACAAACCAAACTCACTCCAACAGAGATAATTGTTATTACTGTATCTTCACTACTCTTCCTTTTATTTTTGCTTATCATAATTATCGTGATGTGTCGAAGAAGAAAGCGCAGAAAGTCCGAAGTGGAGCAGATTTACCTTCATGAAGCTGGATGTGAAAGATCGCATAAGTACGTTGCTGGAGAGGAGGGTCACCACCCTCATGCAGATTCCGCGAGGCGGATGTTGGACGAGTACGACTTTGAACCGGACATGGATGAAAGCCTGCAAGATACACCAAGAGTTACGCGAAGACCGTTGGTTCGAGATCCTGCTGGCGGAGTGTTGCTTGACGGAGAGGAGGAGACTACACTGTGATTTGATAGAGAACACTGACTCGAAAATAATTAGCGTATATTTAAATTTGATTTTTTTTTCTTCAGTAGATATGCAAAGGTTTTAGTTTATTATTAAATACGTTATCTTAATGAATATTTATGCTTTTTAAACACGCCACTTAACAGGAACTTGAATAACACATGATGTTTTGCACTAACCAATGAACAGTACGCAAGTGGATGTCGACGTCTAGATAGTTTTGATTTTCAACGGTTGTGACCTTCTCATGGTTGTTAAGTGCCGATACATAACTCGTTTGCAATTGGTAGAGTATCTTCCTGCGATTCCGTAGATCTTTCATTCCATTAATTCAGAACAGCACCTAAAGTAATAAATATATTAAAATCAGCAGGGAGAAAATTAGATCTAAGAGGATATTCACAAGAATACTTCAACACTCGTCGATGGATGTTTTAAGCGAAACAGTTTTCAGGAAGATCATACACTGCTTGTTAAAACATAAACTCTTTTGGAATAAGATGAGTAGCGCACTCGACTGAATTTATGTGTAAGGTTATTAGGCTTTTAGAGTGTAAGATGATTGTTGCATGGCTGTTGTGTTTGGCTTGTCAACAGTCGTCGTTGTTTTGATTTTTTTTCTAGAATGTGTGAATTCCATAGCATTGTGTGTCATACTTAGCATAATCCCATTAATCAAAGAGTGTTTTCGTTATGAGTGTAAAAATGGGAAGTTTGTTTTGCATGAATGAACTTTATAATCATTTAAACACCCTGAACAAAGTTTTGAGGGTATTTCTTTTCTACAGTGTGAATTTATTACCACCTTAAGTTTTGTTTCTCAATGTAAACAGAGGAGTTTTTCTGGTGTTCATTTAAGTCAGTAAGAATCTGGAAGTAACCTTGAGTGCTACATGCTTAGAATATAAAACATAAACAACATTGAGTGCTTAAAGAGTGTTTTCATTGAATTCGCATTGCTTTATTTCCGTTACTCAGAGCTCCGCAAAATGTATTCTGTGTGGAAGATATTAGATTAAACAATAAATTAAACTTTACGAATGCGTGGGGAAATTGATGTATAACTTACTATAAAAAAAAAAAAGAACTTTGGAAGCGGCTAAAGCACTCAAGAAAAAGGAAAACTACATCTCGTGTTTCCCCCTACACTTCTTCATGCTCAAGCCACTTCCCGCGCGCTCTTTAACATATAACAGACCACAATCGATGCTTCTTTCTTTGTTAAGTAATAAGTCTCAATATGCCGGACAAGGCTCCCTGAGGTCGACGAGGCCCTGTCTTATGGAATAGGGGCCAATTTTGTATTTTCAAGTGTTTTACGCGAGCGGATGAAAGCGCTCGGGGCAAAACACCTACAAGTAGAGGTTTTTTTCGCGATCTTCCACTTGCGCGGATCTCTTCCCTCGCGCTTTCTTTCTCGTCTCGCGCGTTACTCTGCTAGCCTGGAAAATCCAAAAAATATGACCACAATTCGTACTGTTAGAGAAAGAAACTGGTCGAATGCATTTTTCTTAAACTGGCCATGGGTTAGCTGGTGAGAGAGGCACGTCGCTCTTTCAAGAGTTAAACAAGAACTTCGAGCAACCTCTCATTAATTGTAAATTTTGAAGTCAGTGTCAGGCGGGTTTTTTACAGCTCGCTCGGACGAATTAAAAAGAGGTGCCATGACTCTGTACTTTTCTTCTTTTATTCTCTTCTGGAGAGCTACTACAGCAACGCTCTATGCATCTAATAATCATGCTCTAGCGTGAGGAACCAACGCTTTAAGTAGGAAAATCGTAGACATGTTTGGGTTAGCTGATCATTAGAGTTTCCGCAGTGTATCCGTTATTTTGCAAAAAAGGGGGAAACTGGTTGGCCCTCACCGAAGGACTTGTCGAGCGCCAAGGAACCAATTGAACGCTAACAACTGCGCACAGGAATTCTCAACCTTAACAAGCGATTAAAATGTCTAGCACGGTAAGAAGAAAATCCGCGAACTGAGCCAAGTTCAAGCACTCACTAAAAATAAAAGATCAAAACTATAGATCTACCAAAATAATACGTAGGCGCAAAAGGGAAGGTTCAACAAAACAAAAAGCTTAACTGAAAAAGTCTCAAAATAACAATTTCCAATTTTACCTCACAACATCAGCAAAGTGGAAGGAAAAGATGTGGAAAGATTTCCATATAACCCCATACATTAATTATGCATTCCATTTCATAACGACTAACTATAAAGGTTTCTTCGCAACACTCTATGCGTAAAAAATGTATGGGGTTATATGGAAATCTTGCTAAAGATATTTATTCGTCTTATCACCGTCTCTTTCTGTTCCCACAAATGGCGCTTTCGACATTGCTAAGCGCGGCTGTATATTAAACGCATCACATATTTGGAGCTGGTAATCCTGTACCTCTAATCATATACCTTATTGTGAAGTCTCTGTGGCTCAGGGGTAGAGCATTGGAGTGCGAAATCTGAAGTTTTGAAGTTCGGTTCCTCGTGGAGACGGATACCTATTTGTCTCCCACGCGCGAGTCAAGACGAAAAACCATTTTCCTCCACAACCTTTCAAATTTATTTTACCAATTATTATTTTACTTGCATTAGTCTTAACTCTATGGAATACTGGATCTCGATGCGTCGTGCTGCCGGTCGCTGTCTCCTTGTTTGATAAAATGGCAGCGCTTTCGATTCATTTTGTGTACTTTTAATCTTGTTTTTCCTTCATGAGAGAAAAACAATGCGTTAAATTTCTTCATGTTTTTTTCCCAGCCGTCACTCACGATGCCGTTGATTAAGCTTGGCTCTTGATTAGCTGGCTCAGCGTGCAAGCAGAACCGATTTCGCGCCAGATCTGTGACGTAGCAGTAGATTATTGGCTGCAGTTGTTAATCCATATTCATCAAAAGTTGTAGAATTTTCAGCAAACCACGCGGTCCGTCGTAGGGTGAAGACGTATCGTCCATTGTGTTAAACATAGTGTTTGCTCTGGAAAGAAGAACACGCTGGCCTTGTAAAGAAGAGCAACGAAAGCACCTTTACGTCACTTCAACAGCAGGTGAGCTTTACCTTTGGAAATATCGCCCTAAACTCCTTCATAGACCTAGAAGAATCGTATTACCTCAGTTTGACGACGTAGCACAAATCGGTTGCTTGGTCTGAGCGCTTCTTCAACTCGAAATTATACTGAATTATGGTGTTGGCTTCAAGAGAAGCAAAATTGATGATCGTAAAGTATTTTTAGTAAAACGCTAAAATAAAAATGTTTTGCTTGCTAAATCTATCGGGTGCTTTATTCTGTATTTGAATGCAGCCATGTCGAGGTGTGACTGCTCTTACTCCTTGGCCTTTTGCCTCATTGTAAATAACATCTGAAAGACTTGATGTTTTCACTTTTTTGATAATTGCGTCAAGGAGTAAAACGATCATACAGAATTTTAAATTTTAGTTTTCGTCCACATGGAAAGTAAGCATATTCCCTAATTACATTAATATTTTATACTTCAGGAAGAATACTGTCATCCGAAGAATGGAAGAACAAAGAATCCGGTCTAAAGAAAACTCCCCGTTTTGGGGAACGCTAAATTGACCAATCAGAGCGCGCGCTTTACTTTGGTTATGTTATAAATCATATTGCCGAACGCCATCTTCAAAGACTACTCTGAAAAGCTAGTGAACTAATTTGAAAACAGATGACACCAACTATCGGCACCTTTCAAAACGACTTTAAAATACCAACCCGGTCAACAACAGACCAAACAGATCAGACTACTCTGAAAAGCTAGTGAACTAATTTGAAAACAGATGACACCAACTATCGGCACCTTTCAAAACGACTTTAAAATACCAACCCGGTCAACAACGGACCAAACAGATCAGACTAACTTGAGGGTCCCCTATACTTTTCACGTGAAGCGTGATTGGACGATTTTTTTTCTCGTGAATCATGTCGTGATTTGATGTTTTCTTCATTCGTGAATCGGGATTAAGGATAAGATCTTTTCATGTCCACGTGAACTAATTCTTTTTATTTAATCGTGACTCTTGAATGAAGAGCTGAATAAAACGTGATTCGTGAACCATATTGTTTCGCGTAGTGAATTCCCGGCTTTTTAATGGTTTTGAAAATATACGTGATTGTCCTCGAACGGCTGTGTTAAGGTTTTGACCGGGGTTTTGAGAGGACGTGGGCTTCATATGGAGCGATTAAAGTCATGAATCAGACTACTCTGGCAAGAGTACCATATAACCCCATACATTAATTATGCATTCAGACTAGTAGACTTCGTTTTTAAAGTTTTGTCATGAAAGACAAAGTGGAATGCATAATTAATGTATGGGGTTATATGGTACTCTTTCCACTACTCTTCTTGAACAAACAAGCTAAGACATTACTTCGTCTTTCGTCACTTAAGATTAGTCAAAATTAGAAGTAACAATTTAATTCGTGAATTTGTTTTTTGTTTTTCTGTGAAACGTGATCGTCTCAAATTTCGCGTGGACATGAAAGAATTCGGGATATTACTCGTGATGCGTGAAAAGGCGAAATATTATAACATGACTGAGTTTTAGCAAGAGGTTATAAACCCTTGGGTATAGGGGACCCTCTAACTTTACCGACCGTGGAAAGAGTTCCATATAACCCCATACATTAATTATGCATTCCATTTCATAAAGACTAAATAGAAAGGTTTCTTTGCAACACTCTATGCATAATTAATGTATGGGGTTATATGGAACTCTTTCCCCGACTGTTCAAAAGTGACTGATAAACGAACGAACGAACGCACTTTAAGTCTGACAGCCACTTTACTGCAAAACTGATCAATCAGTGTTGCAAACCAAAGTTGTCATTAACGCTCCACATATAAACGATTGTTAACTTGACACTGATGACTTCTACTAAGGCCAATGACTAGTTTTCAGGACTACTCTCAACCAAACGATCATAATTCACAATTCAATGACAACTGAAATATACCAGGAGAAAAAATTTGACCGAAAACAAATTGATCCAATCGAAAAATCATTGTCGGCAGTAAACTGGAAATTTAGGAAGTATTTTTCAAGAAAGGAAGTATTTGTTTTTTATCATTGTACACGAAGCAAGAATTCAGCAGGGTGCCATCTTGAATAATATCCGTTACTTTGTGCTAGTGATAGTAATATTTTTTAAAACTCTTATGCCTGGTCTTAAGTTAAAATTTATCGCTCTATAAACCAGATTAAGTTGACGCCTTCCATGAAGAAGGAACTTATAGATTTTTCATGTTTCGAGAAGAGTTTATTCGAATTCGATGAAAATTAGGATGGTTAATTGTTTCGCAAATCATTGAAAAATTATTTACAGATTGGACAGAAACCAGCGTAAATACACGAGTCAATCTTTTGACCAGTAAAAGATAAATAAGTTAACTGGTGAAGATCCTTTGTTATGATACACGAACAAGAAAACCACATTCTTATATGCTGATCACACGATTTTAAATTTTGCTGGTTTAAAGCAAGATATTTCCAGGTGAACGTTGGAAACAGAAATATTGCACAAAATCAGTGAATTCGATTGACCAACAGATTAAAAAAAGGTGAATTTTGTAGTTGAATGCCTTTACCTATGCTGGTGACGAGTTTCATGGAAAATTTAGGAAATTGTAAACGTATTTGTTGTTTAAAAATTTAAATTTGTACAGAAAGCTCGTGTATTTTACAAAACCGAAGAGCGAACCTGCAAAATAATATGCAAATTAGTAAAGGTTATCGAAAATATATTTCAGTTTAATGTGTCCTCGCTCTGAAAAGGCCAGTACTTTCGATTGCTTTACCGCGATGGTTGTCATTTTGCTAGTTTATATGAATTTATTTCTTTGATAAGAAATTTTCATTATTAAACTAAGTCACGTTCGAAAAAAGAATCACTTGTTACCCTTCGGACCAGGCATTTGGTTTTAAAATATTCCGTAGGTAGTTAGTTTATTTACTCCTTCTTGTGAGTGGACGGAAGATCTTTTTTGCAGTCACTTGATATAACACAGGAATACAAAAAAAGATGCATACA